GTTTGTTTTTTTAATGTCTCTTTGAGAATTTTTCACTCAAATTGAGATGCCACCATTTGCCGGTTGAGAGCTACAAATTTATGCCTATACTTGGCACCCTGGGCCATTGAACTTTCGCTCCAACACCTACTGTCTCCAAGTCCCGCAGTTGGATTCGAACCCGCGACGTAAGGATCAACTCCTTACTCCGCCACTCTAGAACAAACGCTCTAACCACTGCACCACGCGGGGTAAAACGGTTATGTGTTCCTTTTTTGTCATGTATCTACCTACATCTGCTTTGTTTCTGCTAGAGTTTTTTTGTTTATTAGGAAGTAAGAATCGATTAAGAAGTTCTCTTAAAAGAGCTTTCTTAAAAAATAAGTTTCTTTAAAACAGTATATGAATGAAATATTGATATTTCATTCTTATATGTTAATACTGTTAATATATCAATTATATTCCTCATTTTAATACCAAAGAATGATCAGACAACTTCACAAGTGGAATAAAGGGCTGACTGATGTGTACCAAACTATGTATTTCTCGGTATTTGTATAGCGTGGGTTTCGACGGAAATGTCCCTGTGATTTTATCTTTGGATTCAAACTCTGAAGAGCAAAGGAGCGCAATTTTATCCCAATCCTTGTTCTGGTCGACATTTCAGTGGTAACAGAGACCTCGGGGATCAATATTTCCCACAATCTGAACCCCGTGAAATATGACCGCGAACCTCTCTGTAAACGGGAGTGGTTCTTCGGTTACCTGGTTTCCATATTTCTTCTAGTGGTGATCGCCGTACAACGTTATCTCAAGATCTGCACACCATATGCTAAACAGATGACGATGAAATGCAAAAAAGTAGCTGTTTTATGTTCATGTCTTTTGGCGGTTTAACTCACGGCTCCAATTCCGTATGAAATATATTCTGCGTATAGTGAACGATATATAGTAATCGGAAGTATTCCAAGAGAATTGACTTTCATCCATTATTCATGCCACTGTGTGAAACGTTCTAGTTTCTGTGTTTGTATACATGGGTTCTGTTTCTCCTGTACACTTCAATTGGTCGCAGAAGCTATGCACAACGTAAGCAGTTGGACCGAGGGCAGATGCTTTCCACAATCAACAACAAAGAAAATCAGAGAGAAATGACTCTGAAAACACTAATCAGAAAAACAAACCAACAATGTTCAGAATAACATTCATGTTTATGTTGATTTCTTTTATTTTTATTGTCAGCTTTTCTCCAAAAGTGGTTATTTTCATCCTGGAGTGTATCGATGTCAGATTCTGGGACTCGATGACATACAGTACCAGACTTCTGGCCATGTTCTTTGACGTCTTGTTTATCGTGGATGACATCGCTAATCCTCTGGTATACGCATTTCTGGACGTCACGTTTTCGCAACATACAAGTATACATAGGTTTGACCGTTCAAAAGGGAATGCTTACACCTAGTAGGTGCCTGATCCCTTCTCTGGAATTTTCGGGGGACCCTGTTCAGAGATTCCTATTGTTTGTAGATTTTTTGTTTAGATCGATCACTTTCCGTTATCTTCACCTTTTTTCATTGATATGTGATTTTCAATTATTTTGTTTGACCGTATGATGATTTTGCTATCGTCTACGACTGATTCCTGTTGGTTCAATCCAAGAATTTTTTTTCAAATAAAAACAATCGTGCGAGTTCTATGTGCTACATAGATTTTAGCAATACGATTGCTTTGTGATATATGTAGAAGCAGAAACTTTTGATGGGGATAAAATTTCTTTGATTTGTGATCTAAAATAGTTTCGTGGGCATTTAATTTCGTTGTTTTGAAAGTAACCCTATTCAATATATAGTCGTAAAAAAATTTCGTGTGGAATTTAATTTCGTTGCTAACTTTTAATAACGAAATAAACGAAATTAATCCCACGCGAATATTTCTGCTTTTACATGTATTACTTAGGTAACAATTGTTTTTCTATTAGTTTTTGTAGTTATTATTAATTCTATTTCTGGACTTATATATAACGTAACGGAACTAGTTTGTTTGAATTGATTCCTATAATTTTATAAAGTCATCTCTAAAGTTAAGGCGATGAATCTTATTATGACTGGTTCATAACTTTGGAGCCCTTCACTGGATCAAGATAATGTTGTCCATGTCAATAATGATTCTAGTAAACGAGGCTTACATTTCGTTAAAATCCCTTCTAGTTGTCTTTGACAATACTATTTGACGGAAATACATGTACCTATGTTAACTGCTAAGTTTCTATCGGGTGACGTTGATCAAATGTAGTTTATATGTTGGATTGTCATTTACAAGATGAACTTCAACATGACGATCAGTTAAAACTACTTGTCAGATATCCTTCCTTGTTTTTTCCTGGTGTCGGAAAACTTCTAACTTATCAATACAGTTGTAAGTGCGGAAATCTCTTAAATTATCGATAATGTTGTAAGTGGTTTGTAACAATAGAGGGCTGCAGTGTGAGAAACTGCAGAAGTGGATGTTTCCGATTTTCTGTATTATTTCTTACAGCGATTTAATTGGATTGAATGAAACTTTTGTGGGAAAACACTAAAAATTCGAGAAATAAAATATGACTATAAGAACAAAGAAACATATTATAGACATGACAAATTCCGTACTTTCCTGAAGGAATGAATAATAAAATAAGAAAGTGACGTCGAAATAAGTGCAAATTTTCCTGCTCTTTTCACTGGTATCAAACTTTTTTCCCAAAAAACACCAAGTATGCAGTTAACTTTCAACTGATTTTTTTTAAAATTAATATTCGTATATATTTTATTGTGAAAAAGATAACTATTGGATTGAATATAAATTCACCAACTCCACTAAGTAAAAATATTTACCTTATAATATTAATTTTATTCCACGTGTATTTTGCTTATAAACTCTGTGGAAAGCTATCAATCAAAACTCCATGACACGGACGGGGAGGTCAAAAGGTTAAAGTATGATTTTTATTTTGACGTTACAAACGTTGAAAGCCGTGCAAATGCAACGTCATCAGCGGACATCAAAATTCACCCTCACATTGAACAGTTTGTAGTTAGGACATGTTGCAATGGTTCTTCCATTAATTATAACTTACTCGAAGGATAATACAGGGATTTTTAAATATAACTCACATTTATAGACAAGACAGGGCGTTAAAAATGTTAATATAAGCATCGAATCATTATTTCAAAGATGTAGTCTCATAACTGCAACGACATTTGCGAACAAAGTGAGTATCGTGCGTCAACGCGTTATGAAAATTTGATTGCACAACCGGTGCAGTTATGAGAAATGGAATAAAAACATACAGAGAACATACGGGGATCTAGAGGGGGGGGGGTTCGGATCCACCTGGAATTTGCGGAGTTATTAAAAGTATATACTGAAGCAAATAAAAATTGACTTTGGACCCTCCTAGAAATCGACGTCCCCACCATCACCACCACGAAATAGGTGTTTTTCACGTTTATGGAATGGATTTTAGTGGGGTTTTTTTTTTATTGTTTTTTTTTTGTTTTTTGGGGTTTTTTTTGGTTTTGTTTTGTTTTGGGGTTTTTTTTGTTATTATTATTATTTTTTTTTTCTGATTTTCGAGAAATTTTTGGGTTAAATGTTTTTTGAATGGGATCCCCCCCCCCCCCCGGAAAAAAATCCCTGGATCCGCGGCCAGAGAATGTAGTAAAAATTACTACGTTTGGTTTTACTACCATGGCAAGCATTGCCAACCAATAAAAATATAAATTTTCTTCTTTTAATATGTGACAAGGATCGTTCTCTATAATAGCTTACACTACAACTTATAATTGCTTTTATTTTTTGAAACTTGAATAATCAAAATGAATAAAAATTATAGAATTTCAATACTTTTTTTCCATGTCAACTTATGTCACAGTTGTTTCCCAAATATTTTTATCATGCAAAAAAGATATCAAGACTTTGACTTTTTTCTATCACTTTTCTGTATTGCTGCAAACGTCATTGATGGGGCTCTGAACATGTTCAAAACTGCTATTTTTCATACTCTAGGCCATGTTGCCATTGTAACTATGACCATAGCAACTAAGTTTTGCCTGATATGACTTTATGGTATCAAATGCTTTTACCATAGCGAGTTTTAAGAAATCATGTGATTATGCGTGCTATGTAAGAGATGAAAAAGGTAAGAGTTAAAGTTATTACAAAGAATGGCTCTTAAAAGTCTGAGAACTTTCTGAAGTTCAGGCACGGATTCAAAGTAAGATGGGTGGGTCTCGGTACGCGCCCCTTCTAAAAATATATCAGATAAAATTTCACTATTATACACAGGTGTAATAAAGGTAAAATTACAGTCATTTATGTGTCAAATTAAGGTCTACGCATTCCCAATTCTCAGAAGCTTACGGGGGCTTTGTTTCCGGGCCCCAACCAGACTTTGTCCTTGACCTACTTGAGTCCTCGAAGGTATCCAGACTCCTTGTCATCTAATTATAGCGCACCCTTTAACACAAAATCCTGGATCCGCTCCTGAAGTTATTTTTATTACTAACATGTATGGATTACATGTAAGTATATTTCTGCTTGCAAAAATACAGACTGACAACACTCGTTTTATATATCTATTTTAAATAAAAAGATTTTTTAAACCACCACATATGAAGTTTGAATCGTTAATTCGCTTTCATATGAAAAATTTAAGATACCATATAACCCCGTTGGAATAATAAAAAAAACATTAAAAAGGTATACATTTCAGCATTGTCTAGCTATTTCAGATTTTCAAGGAAGTAAACAAGCGATTTGTCAATTTTTTGGATTGGCTGGAATGATTAGCTTTAGACGGGATAATCCGCCATACAATAATAAAGTATCCCAATAATAAAACAGCGAGTTCCAGCTTTAATGTTCCTCTCATAATCACGGTAATCCGATTTCATTAGATACCAATACACACACCCCTAACAAAACCAAAATGGCGAATCTCAAATGAAAATTGTGTGAAATGTTTGAATGAGACAGAGAGAAAAATGGGTATTAATCAGTCAAAGAATCTTCACGCCATTACCGACTTTGACAAGGTTTGTAATAAAAGACCTCATTCGTTTCTTGTTTCTGCTGTTACAATTTGATTTGATGACTTTTTAAAATTGTTTCATGTGATCATTACATTTTACACGGGAAATCAATTGCTTCAGGATTTTGACGTTTTTGATATTTACATATTCCGTTTTACTTCAATATGGTGCTGTACCTTTCTCAATCAGGTACCTATCACTCCAATTTCATGTTAATATGTTGTTGTTTTTTTATATTTACGTAACTCAAAACAAACCTTTAAAAACTTTCTCTTTACATTATTCTAATAATATCATACTTATTTCTGTTCGCTTTAGTATCATACACCATCATATTAATTTAAAGGCTCCTTGCTTCAAACATTTTTTCTTTCAAAAATCAAGAAAATACACACTCATTCTATGTTTATATAAGGAAAAATAAATAAGTTTAGCTGCACAGAGTTATTTCCCCCAACATTTTCAGTAATGTTAAACACTGGGGTGAAAAAACTTTATAGATTGGTAAGGGGAACAGCAGATAGCGAGAATTTTTGACATAAGAAGAAAATCTACAATTTCTTCACTTTTTTCTCATTTAGAATCAAATTAAGTCCAAAAATATATAACAACCATGTATTTAATTTTTTGTAGCAAATGTCTCTAAAATATAAATGTTGAAATCTCCCGTTTATCTTTTGTAATAAATCATTTTCTAGCAACACATTCCGACGTTAGATGGCCAGGTACCCGAGCAGAAACAGGACCTCCCCAGTCCCTCACCCAACATCACCACAAAGGAGGAGTTCTTTAAACTTCCCATGTACAAAGATATCGATGACTATATCTTAGGGGTATGTGTCATATCTAAAACATTTTAATATTATGAATAAATATTTACATTTGCAAATGTTTTCCTTTATGTAACAGTATTTGAGCAATGCATATTTAAACCTGTATAAAAGCAGGTTCGTCACTTGACCGCAAATTCATTGTTAAGTCATAAATCGACATAGATTCACAGTGATGTCATGAGTGGTCGACGTGTTCAACACATTCAATTTATACCGCTGAGGTTTGAAAATTTTAATCATTTTATGTCTTTAAAACGAAAATAAGCAAATATTTGTTTTATTCTTATATATGAACCTTATTCATTTATTTACATTTGTAACTGATATAAAACAAATATTTGCTTATTTTCTTTTTAAACACATAAAATGATTAATTTTTTCAAACCTCAGCACTATAAATTGAATGCTTTTATTTTGAGATATGTTTTATTTCAAAACCTGACTTTAAAATAAAAAATAGTTTTATGCATTTTGTAACTAAAATTTATTTTATTGTAAATTTCTATTTTTGGAGAGTCCTAATTTACTATTTTAAACCTAAAAAAACAGGCGCCATCTAAGCTCTTAGTGGGAACATTTGATGACGTCATCCAATTCTTTAAATATCGGGACTATTGGAACCACATGGCCTTGACCCGGGCCATATTTCTTTGGGTGGTGCATCAGGACATTTATAGCCTTAAGTCAACTGATGAACCTCCCCCTAACTCCCCTTTGGAGTACTTCATTAGCATGCAGACCAGCCAAGGTGGATATGCCCACCTCATCTGGGGACTTTGCAAGTAAGTAAAAAATAAGATGTATGATATCCGATATACTTCTCATTTTCCTTCTAAGTTAGTAATTAATTGAGAAAAATATGGAATCAGCTCTTGGTCTTGTAAAGATTCAAATTAAATAAAATTCCAGAAATACAAAAATGGGTTTGTTTAAAAAAAGGAATAGGGAAATATTTATACTTCACAGACATTTGGAAATACTGTTCATTCCGTATTTCCCGGGAAGTACTGGTCATTCCGTATTTCCCGGGAAATACTGGTCATTCCGTATTTCCCGGGAAGTACTGGTCATTCCGTATTTCCCGGGAAATACTGGAGTAGTCTAAACAGTTTCATAAACATGAACCCTAAAACTGTACAAAGCTTTAAGAAAACTGGTAAAGATTGTGGCAAATATGTCAAACTTAAGAAGAAACCTCTATTCAAAGTAAATATCTCTCAAAATAGGAGTACACACATACATAGGAGTCAAGAGTCAATTTGTTAAAGCAACATGTTTAATTTCAATACCTAAAGTGTACATACACAGGTGGACAAAAATAATGTGATTTTCATTTTTGTGTTCTTAATTATGCGACAATGGCAAGGAGATTCTCTTATAATAAAAAGAATTCTATTTTGTTTAATAGACGGCTATAGAGAATCCTGTGTTCTGCTACAATTGCTTAGGGAAGCTTGCGTAGTGATACATGGTACTGACTCTCTGAACATGAATTGAAATTGGAGACACATTCACCTTGTTTTTTATGTTTATTTTGTTTCTTTAATTTCTCATTTGAATAAATAAATTATAAAAAAAAGTCATATTTCCCAGCAATTACCCCAAATCCTCAATTTAAAGAAAAATTTGTAGTATTTACTAGGCCGGAAAATAACGGTTATTACCAACATTGGTATTCTAAGCCAATCCTGATTCAAATAAATTTACACTGATTCAAATTTTGAAATTACCAGAAATTAAGTGACTGTCTATTCAAATGTGATCATATCTTGAGATGTTTAGTTTTGCAAATGTAACAATTTTTTTGTTGTTCTGCAGTATGCTGGGCGTGCCGTGTGTTATCATTAATGGAATGACAAAGAGTGCCGCGTATGAAGTGGGAGGCAAAGTAAACAGAGAAAATATGGGGGCCCAGTGGAACGCCGTGTACCTTAAAGACGAATGGCGATTCATCGACGCATTTTGGGCTTCTGCATGTGTGGTAGGTAAAAAGTCCAAAGAATGGAAATTGGTGGACGCAGAAGGGAAATACGTGGACGAGGACGAGGAAGACGAAGGCGCGTACCAGCACGTGGAAAACGAGGTCAACGAGTTCTACTTCTTCACGGACCCTCAGAAGTTCATCTGGACTCACTACCCAGACGAAGAAGAGTGGCAGTGCTTAGATACCCCCATCTCTTTGACGGAGTTTGAAGAGCATGTGTATATCCGGGAACGTTTCTACTCCATGGAAATCAGTCTTCTAGATGACTTTCAGTATAAAGAGATAATCATTCCGGAAGAAGGCGAACTTGGTTTGCGTTTTGGATTCCCGGAAGAGAAAACTGATACCTACCAGTTCCGTTACGCTATGTACAGAAATAAATCGGACGAGGAGTTCCGGCACCATCTGAGACTTGATCGCTTTGTTCTCCTGGAACATACTAAAGGGATATTGAGACTATCAATGAGATTCCCACTCTCTGGTAAATTTAAACTGGATGTTTATGGAACGGATGACAAAGAAAATGGATCATTTGACCTTATTTGTTCTCATATGATACATTGCACAAATCCGAAGAGAAATTGTTTGCCCCTACCGGACCAACCTGCCATCGGATGGGGTCCTGTAGAGGAGACCAAGGACTCGGGTGTGGTTCCTGTGAGTCACAAGGGTGCCGTCATAGTAACAGAAGATGGTAAGATTGATGTTAAACTGGGCACCAACAAGAAAATGGAAATTCACCAACTTTTGAAGAGTATAAACTTAGATGAAGCGACCCTCAGTAAATACGTTCTTGTAAGGGAAGAAAATGGGGAACATTTTATACACATTCGGTTACCACAAGGCGGGGAATATGCCCTTAAAATCTACGCGAACGAAGAAGGTATGCCAGGTGATGCAGATAACATTTTGAATTATCTGATAAGTTGTACTAATGAAGACATTCAGAATAAACCCTTCCCTAATGTACCAGATGGAATACTCGGTAAAAAAGCAATAGCAGAAAATATTGGTGTAAATGCAAGAATTCAAAAGGGGCGCTTTAAAACAAAAGACGGGAGGATTCGACTGGAATTCGCTGCCATGAGCTATGTAGAACTAATGGTTGAAATCCACACAACAGATCCTGTTGCAATGAAGTATTTGAAGTCCTACCGACAGACCATAGAGGATCGATGGGCGTTTGATATAGATCTACCTGTCAAGGGGGAATACTCTATCAATGTTTTTGCACGAGAAAATCCAAAGCGTTCCCGGGTATACAATGTACATTCTTACCTCGTCTTTTCCGATGGTCATGCCTATAGAGACACAAAAGAAGAGTTTGTACCGACAAAGGTTCTCACAGAAACAATTCAAACAGCTGATAACGAGGCTCTGATTCCAATACCACGTGGTTATTTAGATGTCGTCTGTTGCCTCCAGCGACTTCATGCCAACGATCCCCCGGATAATTCTCAAATAGAGATAATTGATCATGATAACGACAGACTCTTCCTGACAGAGTTGAACGACTACGGCGAGTACATGATGAATTTATACGATAAGGATGAATTTGGACTGCTGAATTGCATCGCTCGCTACCAGCTCAACCGTAAAACAACCACAGAGTTGATGCAAGACGACCCCATGGTGATCATGGACAGAATTAAAGAGGAAGTTGAAGAAGATGAAGATAGGGAGGAAACGAAATCCGAAACAAAAGATCGTAAGAGAACTGGTGCCACTCTAGATATGGTGAGAAAGAGGCGCCATATATTGATGCTTAAACGTCGTGCGATGGAGCTCGGAGACCGTGATGCACTGGAACAACTGATTGTAGCTTACGAGGAAACAAAACCTGCTGACGACGACCCAACTCTGATGTCTGCCAGAAAACTACTGAGACTACTGAATGCTAAAGACGGTAAGCTTTCAGTCCTGCCTTCGTGCATATCTTTTTTTAAAATTTTGATTTTTTTATGCATCAAATTAAAACAACAACCGTTCTATTAAACGAAACTGCTAGTATATATATTTCCTTATACAGAACTGGCAGCTGCTTCACGAACACGCCATCTAGAAAAACTGAAACGTGCCATCCGCAATGCAAAGGAGGCCAACTATGACGGAATCCTCAACCTCCAGTTAGTTACAGCAGAGCGCCTGCGCGACAAACTTGCCAGGATAGAGAAGTTACGTCACAACATCCTTGTTATGGATCAAACAACTGCAGCAGAACTTAGAACCTACACACATCCGCCAGAGGGCGTGCGACAGTCCATCATGGCCGTTTTTGTTTTGTTAGAGTATCCAAGAAAAGATGTAAAGGTACAAATAAAATGTATTGAATCTGAAGTACTTTTGATACGCCCATAAATATTTTGAAAACATAAGGGTTATTTTATCCTTATTTCGCTTGCAGGACTGGAAAACAATTCAGACTATTTTGTCTAGATCAGGAAAAGAGTCCATCATGCGTCGGGTTGCCATGTTTGATCCTAAATACTGCTTCCTTGACGTGGCTTTGGAAGCAAAGGCGATTCTCGCGCCATTCACGCTTGAGGAAATCCGTGATGTCAGCAATGGTGCTGCAGCTTTTTATAACTGGGTATATAATATTATTTTTTAAAAGAATTCTAATTCCTAAGCTTGAGCCAGTGTTTGGAACATCAAATTGTTGCACTAATTTATGATATTGTCTCATCCTCAAGGCCGAATATGTGCGTTATATCAATTTAAGAGGAGAAAAGGAATACTTTTTTTCATTGCATTGAATTCTTTTTTATTCTTATAATATTTCTTATTATCAGATTTTATAATAAAAACTGACTAGTATAAACAATTGTTTTCCTTCAGGCCTCTGGGATGATTGCTGAAGTGGAACAAACAGGTGGCGCTAGTCGACCGATGGATGAGTGGATGCAAGTGACCGAGGGTGTCCGAAATGTAGAACAGACGATTTCACGCGGACCAGCGTCTGCGCGGACAAGTCGATCCACGTTACATCAAACTCCAGAAAAACTCGCGAGATATAACACTCAGGACACCATCAATAAAACCTACACAGTCAGGTCCCGTAACTCGTGACATAGCTAGAGAAAAGGATTTTTGTGTCAACCTTACTTTATTAGCACCATGACTAATCTATCTAGTGATTCGTTTGTTAAATTGGACATCATGGATTCTAAACTTTGGTCAATATCTGGTGAAAATGATTCAATGTAAACAGTGCTTTGTTACACTGCATACAAAGTATGTAATATTTTGATACAATTTTGAGCGTATGCCTTGGTATGCACTTTATAAATATGACGCATAATGGTACAGACTTTCTTGCAACTCCTGAGAAATGTTGTTTTACTTAGTTAGGTCTCTGTCTAAGAATGAGGAGTGCGAAAAAGTGGAAACATCTTTTATTTTAAGTTTTAAATATATACATGTATGATCAATAAAATGATTTCAGTTTTATGAGAAAGATTATCGATAAGGTTTAATTTTCCTTGATTTGTTTTCGACAGTAAAGAAAAAATTGAAATAAATTTCCCCATGTCTATTGTATTATGGTCTCTCATCTGCTCAAACTTTATAAATTGTGTGTCGTAACCAATACGTTTTTAACAACAGATACTCGCTAGCCAAGGGTTTTCGGTCCGCACTGTTTCACGTAAATGGGGTGCAGAGCGTTCTAAAAATCCTTTATTAGTGAATATGCAGTGGAGTCGGGTCATCGTTTTAATTTAAATGTAAAAAAAAAATGTATTTAAAAATAAGGATTCTGATGTAAAATCAGCTTATTTAAAAGATTGATAGAAAGAGGGAAAAGAAAATACTCGATTTGAAAGATGTAAGCTATACTGGATTCAATGAAATATTTCTCAATTATATTGAGATGTCACCAGCTGCTTGTGAAGTCCCAATCCCAGACCCGTTATCTACCAGCTGTAGGTGAAAACCAAACACAGACTTGTAAATCACCACCTGTAGGGGAAAACCAAACACAGACTTGTAATTCACCAGCTGTAGGGGAAATACCAAACCCAGACTTGTAATTCAGAGCCTGTAGGGGAAATACAAAACCCAGACTTGTAATTCACAAGCTGTAGGGGAAATACCAAACCCAGACTTGTAAATCACCAGCTGTAGGGATAATACCAAACCCAGACTTGTAATTCCCCAGCTGTAGGGATAATACCAAACCCAGACTTGTAAATCACCAGTTGTAGGGATCATACCAAACCCAGACTTGTAAATCACCAGCTGTAGGGGAAATAACCCCAGACTTGTAATTCACCAGCTGTAGGGTAAATACCAAACCCAGACCTGTGATTCACTAGCTGTAGGGATAATACCAAATCCAGACTTGTAATTCACCAGTTGTAGGGATAATACCAAACCCAGACTTGTAATTCACCAGCTGTAGGGGAAATACCAAAGCCAGACTTGTAATACACCACCTGTAGGGGGAAATACCAAACCCAGACATGTCATTCACAGCCTGTAGGGGAAATACCAACCCAGACTTGTAATACACCACCTGTAGGGGAAATACCAAACCCAGACATGTCATTCACAAGCTGTAGGGGAAATACCAAACCCAGAATTGTAATTCACCAGCTGTAGGGATAATACCAAACCCAGACTTGTAATTCACCAGCTGTAGGGGAAATACCAAACCCAGACTTGTAATTAGCCAGCTGTAGGGGAAATACCAAACCCAGACTTGTAATTCACCAGCTGTAGGGGAAATAAACCCAGACTTGTAATTCACCAGCTGTAGCTGCATGGCGTAGCTACCATGTAATTCACCAGCTGTAGGGGAAATACCAACCCAGACTTGTAATTCACCAGCTGTAGGGGAAATATCAAACCCAGACTTGTAATTCACCAGCTGTAGGGATAATACCAAACCCAGACTTGTAATCCACCTTCCGCATGGCGTAGCTACCATGTATGCTTGTATGACAAAGCATCCACATTATTTTTTTCCCTAGTTACGTTATTTGAGCCTGCAGTAGAAGTACCAAACCCAGATCCGTAATCTACGCAGAGGCAAGCCATGGTTCTTTATCATCTGTGCAGTCTGCCTAATGTTGAAATTTTATTTGAACTACGTGTAAGATGGCTATGTGCATTTCAACATTGAGAGTTTTGAAATTTTTGTATGAAATTAAGTAAAGAGGGTCATTAGACCTTAAATGTCTAAATAGAACTCCATAAAGATGAAAAAGCCTAGTAAAGAGCACGGTTAGACACTTTATGTAATTTTTTAATTGATAATTGACATTTTATACCCTGATCGTTTTAATTGTGCATAGAGGCCATGGCTCCGTTTTACTAAAGAACTTACGACTAAGACCAATATGCAACTTTGCAAATAACTCTCCTTTTTCGTTAAAATGAAGACGGTTTTAATCTTTCAAAAAAGAACTCAAAAAAGATATATTTATGTTGACAATTTGTAATTAAATCATTATTTTTGCAAGATTTTACAATCATTTAAAGTTTTTGGTCTTAGTCGTTAGTTCTTTTGTACCACTTTCTCAACCCCCCCCCCCCCCCAAAAAAAAAAAAAATCCATGGTTTTCAGATCTGATGTCGAGCAGCTTTTGGCAATAAGAATAAATCTGCTAGTTTTGACCGTTCGGTAGTCGATATATCAAACACTCTACCTCTCGTTCTAATAGAATATGGAATGTCCAAACTGCTGCTCACTATTCGACCAGTACATGTATAAACGTTTTCGTTATTTTTATATTGGTCGGAAAATACATTACTTTTTGTTGTCGGAAAAGCCTAAATGGTTTTAAGATGGAGTCATTTCCCTTATCCCAGAGAATCAAATTCGTAAACGAGGACACTATTCAATTCAAATTCATAAACTTTTAAAAATGTAAAAATAGGTTTATATGAAACATGAGGACAAATATATCAAATGAACCTATTGTTACATTTGTAATGTTTGTGATTTTGAATTTTATTCTCGTAATTTGAGATAAGGAAGATGACTATTTTGGATTAAAATTTATTTTATTCAAATCAATGAAATGGATTGAACAGCAGGCATAAATGCCTATGATTGTTCTCTCCATAGAAGATGACTTTTTTCTGTGTCCATCACTAAAACCATACCTGGGCTCTCCGGCAACCTAAAAGCAATCATGTGTTCTCCGAGCTTGCCGGGAAGGTCTGAGAAGTTACAATTGCTACCATATATGTTACGATATATCTGATTTTTTTGACGTGATTCTGTAGAATTAGTTTCTGATTTTTTTGTTTTTGTCATTTTGTCATTGAAGTATTGAAACTCTAACAAGATTAAGGTACCTTATCAGGCAATTGTGCAAGATACCAGAGGATGCTATTTACTATAGAATCCTATTGGAGATCACTAGCATTGCCAATATCACGATTTTTTGGTGTCCTTATCTACTCAGACATTTTGAAAACAGCCTAAAAATCACAGGTCAATGATAATTATGATTAATTTGTTGTATATTACGAAGAGATAGAAAAAAAAAAACAGATAATCGAGCAACGTGTCGTCAGACCTTATATAGCTTTCCTGGGTACGGTGCAGATTGAAAAAACAAAATCGCTGAAGAACGAAGTTGAAGAGCAAAATAAATATATATTTATAAAAAAAAAAAAAAAAAAAAAAAAAAAAATCACCATGATCAGACAGAATTCTGTAAAAAAAAAAGAAGAAGAAAAAGAAAAAAAAAAGAAAAAAGAAAAGAAAAAGAAAAGAACAGTACATGTAGGTTCTAATTTTTTATTCAATAATTTATTCAGAAATCTATTTACCAGTTTAATGGCAAGTTTGCGTAGTAGCTATTTTTGAAGGTGAAGGGACCATGTAAAACTAATATTTCAGATTCATTAATGCCATGTCGTAATATTTGCCAAAATTAACGCACAAATTCCAAATATATTGACTAGAGCGAATTTTTTTATGAGTATACATGTATCTAGTGCGTAATTATAAAACTAGCGGCGTTGACCAATTAGGTTATTACTTGTTTAAAGCACGGATTAGTTAACTAATTCAAGTCGAACAATTTTATTCCCTTTTACCAAAGACTATAGATAATCGCCTTAATCTGCGACCTACAAATCCTTATAAAATATGGGTCAGGAGGTGAAAATTACAAGTTGGATCAGACGAGCACACACAGTCCGTAAACAATGATGACATCCTGTAGAAAAATGATGGAGTATTGTGTCTGAAGATGGGGAGTGGAACTTCTAAAGCGCCACCTATCGACACCCCGAGGGGCCAAGATAAGGTAAGACGGACTGAGCGTGATGTAAGGGGACAAGGTCTTACAGGGAAAAATAAAGGTGAGGCTGGAAAAAGAAATCTGTTGTGGGGAGTTGAGAAGAAAAGAGAATGGGAAAAGATAGGTTAAAAAAACGAAGAAACATGTTTGAAAAGGGGGAGGGAAATTTGAAATTGGAGAAAGCGGATAAGGGAGGGGAATATATAATTATATAAATATCTGTATGTTTCACCTTTACATATTTTAGAATGCTGATAAGCCGAAGCCGTTTCATAGGGGGACCGTCGGTAAGAAGGGCAAACCTAGCCCTAAACCACCCCTCATCTCTAAAAAAGAGCTTCTAAAAAGTGTCAACTTTAAGGTGATGGATGACGTTGCGCTGCAGGTAAGAACACGTTAAAATAATCATTTAATCTCTTGGCTGTGGAAAAATGTTGCTATTCATAATTATTTCTTATGTTCTCATTAATATAAAAATTTTACTACACAAATATAGATAGAAATCCAAAACATTAGATGCTGAGGGGGGACTATCTAACCATTTTGAAATTGGACCAGATATGACCCTGGTATTGGTTCAGCATCAAAACATTGCACTGCTTACCTCATTACCTTATGAAAGTTCTAGTTTGTCATCATCACTTCAACAAGGAAGGGTATATATCAAAATAGTTATTGTCCAAAACTCGGGAAACTTTTGTTGGACCATCAGACAAAAATGTTCCCCTCAACACTCAGCTTCGGGCACTTTTTCTGTCTTCAGGTTCAACATATCAATTGTGGACCCTGTACTCGGTCAACATCAGCTAAATATCATCCTTTCTATTTCTGATCGTTGTTATATTGCTGTCTGTTTTGTTTTTAAAAGCCTTGTCTCATGAAAAGTAGGATCACTTACATGCACCATCCTATCAAATATTGATAAAAATGGATCCCAGAACCACAATTGGGGATTAAGTTTTATATATATTTGTCAGTTATTCAAATTGAAAATATTATTAAAAAAAAATACTAATTGATATTTCTAAAACTATTTTTAGAACTTAAAAAGAATAACTGGGATAATGTTCACGTATATAATTTGACTATTTAACCTAGGTACCTCCTGATCTTCTACTGGAAGACTTCTGGGACGTAGTGGAATACATGATTGTTTCCCCTGATGGCGATATAGTAAATGATCTATTGAAAGTGCGTGCCATCTTCCGGTGGATCGTGTCATACGACATTATGAACATTGATACAGATGTCCTTCCGCCAGACGGATCACCACTAGAACATTTCCTCAAGATTCAGTGCGAGATCGGTGACCACGCCCATCTCTTCTACACAATGTGTTCGTAAGTTGGTTTCATTTGTTTATAGACGCGCTATATTTAGATGCGTTATTATCTTCACCATTATTTTATTTCTTATAAAAATAAATGATTATACCGAATTATTTATGTGGTGAAAACATGTCCAATAAACCCTAAACAAAAATAGTTACAATTTATTTTGAATTGTCATATGCTACAAAAAAGTGTGTTTCTATAAAGGTCAGTGCCTTTCTTCTTTTCTTTTTAATAGTTTCTTTGTTTATTTTTTGTTGTAAATAAGAAGGAAATTTTTCGAATGATTGTTTTAGCTTAAGATTTTGATACTCTTATAACGGCTTGTTTAAGCTTCGGCCTAATCTTCATGCAATGTTCATGTGAGCATAGCTTACGAGTATTCAAAGAAATCAGTAATACAAAAAATTGCATTGGGTGTACAGCAAAATAATTTTAGCTTATAGAAATCCACCATTACATATCTTTACAGATTAGCCGACATCCCATGCGTCATCATCAATGGAATGACAAAAAGCGCCATCTATGAGTTGGGTGGTGAAGTGAATCGAGAAAACATGGCGTCTCAGTGGAATGCTGTGTATGTGGACGGGGAATGGAGAATTGTGGACTGTTTTTGGGCGTCTGTCTGCGTGGACGATAGGAACTCCATTGATAGAATTGAAGTCACCAAAAAACGCAATTTGAAACGAGTTTCTGAAAATGGAGAGGGTCCGGTACCCTTCAATGAGTTCTATTTCTTGGTTGATCCAAACCAGTTGTTATGGACACACCTTGCAGACGACCGTGATTGGCAACTTGTCGAAACTCCAATTACAGAGGAGAAATTTCAAGAAAGAGTTTATATAAGAGAACAATTTCACCTCCTTGAAATGGAGATCAGTAACGGTTGTACTAACTGTATTCTTCACACAGATGGAGATCCTATTGAAATAGTGTTCAAATTACCGAAGACAAAAGGAAGGTTTTACAAGTTTGCCTATTCACTCACTCAGTCTAGGACGCAGGTGGATACGGACGGTACTGAAAAACCCGTAGATTTACTTCTTGAGAGGTTCGTCTTCTTTGAGCATACAGATGGTCAGGTCAAATTCACGATAAGACTTCCTCTCACAGGAATGTTTCAACTAGATATTTTTGCAGTTGATGTGAAAAAGTCAAAGGCATATAAGCTTCTGTGCACATATTTAATTCAGTGTGATGAGAAAAAAGACAACATCTTGCCTTTTCCGGATTGTCCGGATTTAGGATGGGGTGTATCACCACACGCACAGGATGCCGGGATACGTCTGAGGAATCGAGAGGACTATGGTGGACGAATTTTGACAAAAACAGGAGAAATAGAATTGGTATTTGAGGTGCAAGACATTCCTTTCCTTTCAAATTCATTAAAAAATGTCCTGATCAATGAGGCATTGTTAAGTAAATATATCCTTGCACAACGGGACAAAGAAAAATATATTGTGAAAATCCGTTTACCCAGGGAAGGAGAATATGGACTGAAAATATTTGCGGACGATGGAGGCAACAAAATTGAAAACTACATTCCAAAAGATATCATTCACTTACTAATCTGCTTTGAGGGCGGAGGGAAAAAGATAAATGAACCTTTTCCAAATATTGCTGGAGGAAATTTGGGAACAAAACCTTACGCAGAAAAGTTTGGCATTGATGTTCTGAGCTATCAAAATGGGATGATAAAAGCTTGGGGTGGCAGAGCGAGGGTGGAATTTGAAACACACACAGATAGAATTTTGTTGATGTGTGATTTGTCCTGCAGTGATAGGGACGCGCAGGCAAGAAGCAAGATTGAAACAACACATGTTGACAACCACTGGGTGTTTGATTTAACCCTACCAGTGCCCGGGGATTATTCTATGAACGTGTTAGCGACTATGGAGGAAGACAGCAGCAATGTTTACGAGGTACAAAGTTATATGATCACTTCTATTGTTACTGATGTAAAGCGTGTAAAGTTTGCCGAAGATGCAGAGGACGTTGATGACATCATTACAGCAACTATCCGTACATCAGAGGAAACAATCACTATCCCAATACCAAACGCAGACGCAGCGGAGAAAGTGTTCACAAGAATAAGTAGAAGAGATGGCCGAGACGGAGAGAACGGAACAAGACCGTCTGTGGTGGTCAATAAGGAGTCGTTTGATATCACACTGAGAGAAGACGGCGAGTACGTGATGGACGTATGGGCCCAGGACAAATCTAATGTGCTAGACACAGTGGCAAGGTTTACCATCTGTCGCAGGCCATCCATCGACTCCTATACAGACGACATCGAGGCTCTGATTGAGTCTCTAAAACCCCAGGAAGAAATGGAGGAAGAAGTAGAAGAAGAAATAGAAGAGAATAGCGAGGAAGAGAGTGAAGAAGTAAACGAAGAAACAGATGATAATACTACGTTCTATACTGAAACAGAAGGTGATGAAAACTATGAAGATGACAACAATGATAATCAAAGTGAATGTGAAGAGAACGAAGATCAGGATGCAGAGTCAATAAAAGACGAAGAGGACCAGAAGATAAAAACTGACGCACCGGAGCAACACGACAACGATGAAGCAATGAAGAGTGAATCAACGCCGAGAGAGATAAATAATGTTGTTGTCGTTGGTGTCGTGGCTGATTCAAACAAAAAAGAAAGCAAGGATGTTAAAAAAGATGCAAAACAGAAAGATAATTGTGAAAACAATGATGCAGATGAAACTCCGATAGATGAATCTCCCGCGGATGACTCTCCAGCAGATGAAAAGCAGGAGACTAAACCAGCTAATGAGAGTTCATCTAACGACAATCACGGAGAGGTGGTAGTAGCTGGAGCTGTGTCGGGTGTAATCATCACACAGAAGGAGAACCAAAGTGAAGACTGTCCAATAAAAACTCATGATTCACAGGATAAACTTAGTGATGACGTCATCAGTTACTCCGACGGTAAAAGTATTGTAGACACGGACACAGAGAGCATACTAACACTCCAGGATAATAACAATCAGAGGACAACTACGAGAATGGACAGTGTCAGCGTCTCTGCTTTTGGGATGGTGGCTGCACATGTCATCTCCGAGGATAAGGTAGAGGATGATGACGAGGACGATTATGACGACGATGAGCGTCTGACGAATGACTCACAAGGATTATTTGACATTGAGGAAAATAACATGAACGAGGATCAAGACAAATACCGAGCTGGTAGGTTTTAAACTTATAAATAATCAAAATATTCCTCTAGAAAATCCTTTAATATGAAAGCTTATTAAAAATTGTCAAAAGCATCATCTTTTTAATTTAAAAATCTTTCACAGCACGACGACGAACGATTGTCAGGAAGTTGCACAGAGCAATAAGAGACCGGAAGCTAAAGGAGCTAACACAGATATTCCAGGAATACAAAGCAACTAAACCTCCCAAGGATGATGAACTGAGACGAGAGGCCAGACGAATTATCAACCAACTCAAAGCAAAAGACAGTAAGATGATTATGTTTCTCTAACTTCATTCCAGGCGTATGCTTTTTGCTATCATTTAGCTCACCTGAGTTGAAAGCTCAAGTGAGCTTTTCTGATCACATTTTGTCCGTCATCCGTCTGTCCGGCCGTCTGTAATCTTTTCACATTTTTGACTTCTTCTCCAGAACCACTGAGCCAATTTCAACCAAACTTACCACAAAGTATCCTAGGGTGGAGAGAATTCGAATTTGTTCAAATGAAGGGTCACATCCCCTTTCAAAGGGAGATAATTAAGAATTAGTGAAAACATGGTGGTATCTTTTAAAAATTTTCTTCTCAAGAACTACTGAGCCAAAAAAGTTGAAACTTATACAGTATGAAACTTTTTTTTACATAGTGTTCATTCAAAGTTGTTCAAATCATGACCCCCACGGGTAGGGTGGGGCTACAATCGGGGATAAAAGTTTTACGTAGGAATATATAGGAGAAATATCTTCAAAAATCTTCTCAAGAACAGCAAAACCATGATTAGTCATATTGATATGGAAGCATCCTCAGGTAGTGTAGATTCAAGTTTGTTCAAATCTTGACCCCTGGGGGTAGGTTGGGGCTACAATGGGGGATCAAAGTTTTACAAAGGGATATATATAGGAAAAACTCTTCTCAAGAATAGCAAAGCCATGTTTAGTCATATTAATATAGAAGCATCCTTAGGTAGTGTAGATTCAAGTTTGTTCAAATCATAACCCCGGGGGAGGGGGTCACAATGGGGGATCAAAGTTTTACATATATAGAGAAAAATCCTCAAAAATCTTCTCAAGATGTTCTCAAGAACAGCAAAGCCATGTTTAGCCATAATGATATGAAAACATCCTCAGGTAGTGTAGATTCAAGTTTGTTCAAATCTTGACCCCCGGGGGTAGGGTGGGGCTACAATGCACTAACATATGGGTGTATAGGATTTTTTTTTCTAAAATCTTTTCTCAAGAACATCAATGTTATGTTTATTCACATTGATATGGAAGTATCTTGAGGTAGTGTAGATTCAAATTTGATCAAATCAATACCCTGAGGGGTAGGTGATGCTACATAGTACATCTATAAAAATCAGGACACCGGTGAGGGGATAGGGGGGTCATTATAGGGATAATGGATTTACATAGGTATATATTATAGAAACAATCTGCTGATGAAGAACAGTATTGACTCAGGTGAGCGTTGTGGCCGCTTTGGCCTCTTGTTGTAGTACTAAGGACTACCGACTCATTTCTCAATATTATCGACCTATTAGTGTTCGATATACCGAAGCTCAACTGTAGTTGTCTTTGTTCCTCCATCCCCTTCTTCACTCTATCCCTCTCTCTCTGCTTTCTACGAGCATGCGCGAGCATGCGAATCCTTATACTCTCTTTGACATAAAACTGAATTTTTATATATAAAGGCAGTAAGTTTCAAGAATTTTTTGAATAAATTTATCAACAAGACATATCAAATGACAACATTTTCATTTTGATATGCAATTATTATTGCAAATATTTGAATAAGTATAAAATCTTTGATGAAGTATAAAGCAGTTGAAATTCTCATTGGAATAAGTATTATATAAATAAGTGACAATCTGCGTCCCCTCTTGAGTCTTTGCTGGAGACAAAAAAAAAGACCAAAAACACCGGAAAAGGTGTGGTGTTGTTATAACGTCTCACAAATACCCAATTTTAAGGTCAAGTTTTAGATACTTTATGTGAATTAAGAAAATGCAGTTTTGTTTGGTTTCAGTTATCTTTCTTCCTTGTTATAAACAGATTTGATAACCGCCACTTTATCCAAGGACCCTGACACCCTCCGTGAGGCCATCACTCGAGCCCACAGACACAACTATAACATGGCCCTGACCGTACAGATCCTCCTGGCCGGCAGATTACTGGAGAGGTACGTCAGGATGAAGAAGATTGAGTCCACTGTGATAGAGATGAACCAGAACGCCGTGACAGAAATGAAGAAGTATGCCAAACCTCCCAACGGCGTACATCAGACACTAGGAGCCACCTTCTTGTTACTAGGAGAAGATGCCACAGTCGTCAAGGTAACGACTTCTTTTGAAACTTTTCAACAAAAATTAATAAGCTGATTTTCCTTTTGTAGCATTTAACGGAATTATTATTTCAGAACTGGAAAAAGTGTCATGCTTTGTTGTTCAAAACTGGTAAAAACGGCATCCTAAGGCGAGTCGGCGCCTTTGATCCCAAGGATACAAATCCAACCATTGTTGCTGCAGCGAAGAAAATTTTAAGTCGATTTGAATACTTACAAATCCGTGACGTCAGTAAAGGAGCAGCTGCGTTTTTTACTTGGGTTTGTGATATCAATAATTTTTAAGTTAATATACACTTTTATTTCTTATATAGATCGTAAGTCCCTAAGTTCCTAAGATAATGAAATATACCCAGTTAAGCATCTGAACTATATTTCTTCAGGCAAACAATATGGTGCAGCAGGCGGAGTCTTACCGGAACTCTCTCCGAAAAAGTGGTAAAACATCCGCGCGGAATATCGGACCACGATCTGCTAGTATGGCTCCCTACAGCGGCAGGCGACAAGGAACTACTGTTTTGAAAATGTGAAGAATACGGATTTAATAATAAACTTTTATCTGCCATACTGTGTCATTATCATTGTACATTATTCGATCATTAACGATAATTTTCTGTGAATCCATTTCTAAATAATTGTCAATTATATATAAATTTTTGTCTTAACAATTGTATTTGATTGTCACAATTAAATTTGGTTGTTCAGTACATTAGTTCATTAATTATTTAATTTTTCATTCGTATGCATGAAAGTTTTTTTTTCAGAAAGTGGTTTTCTTTTTTGCTTTGGGGGCCCATGCTTGCACTGCTCTCAATTTGGTATTGTTGGATTTCAAACTTCACATTTTCATGGCCATGAACACGTTAAGTTCCTTTATAGTACCGTTGTCAGAGACCTTTAATGTTAAGCACTAAAATTGATTCGTTGTCATGACCTCACAGGTGTGGTTAAGATAATGTTCGTCCGGTGTCATTCAAAATATACAAGAATTTTTACTGAATGCATAAAAATTCATGTTTTTGTTCAATTCCAGGAATTGGGAAACAGATACATGCAGCATTCAGTTTTCAGGACAAAAAGTCATGTCTTTGTTATCCTATATATATTCCGAGTAGTTTTGATTGGCGAATATATATCATGGTGTAAAAGCATGGATGTGCGGTGAAAAAATATATTTTTTCGTCAATTTATTTAAAAAGCACTTTAAATTCGTAGTTTGAAAAGTAGCCCTATTTTCATTTCATTAGACATATTATAGCCTTTTGTAGAACGCATACTATATGAAAATTTCCGTTGTCAGTACATGTTAAGTTGATATGGTCCGGTGTCACTTCTCTTAACATGCAAGTCTGTCTATGAAATGGTGCGAAAATGATCAGATTTATTTATTCTAAAGGCACATAATATCGAGAGAGGGGTTGGTCCCAAACTTATTTAATTAGTATGAAAGTATTCTTTGAAAGGTCGGTTGCCCCAACCTTTTTGTTTCAGTAGAATCAATTCTCTCGTCCAAGAAGTTAAAAATTAAGCCACCCCTAAATAGGATTTTCTTCTCTCTAAGTAGTTTGTCAAAGAAATTTCTGGTGAATTACCAATTACTGTCCTAGCCCCTCCCACCTTTCAAAAGCGATGCTATACGAGGAGTTATCAAAAAGATGTGATAAAATTAATATTATGTGGTCGTTGATTACAAAATTTATAAGGTACATAAAACAACAAAAGTTTAGGAAATGTTAAAAATTTCAGCTTGATACGTTGGTGATTTGCCAAATTATCATTAATTAAATGAAAAAGACATTATATGATCACCCGGCACTTCGCCATTGACTTCAATGACGTCGGACAACGTCATTATTTCTCAATGTTCGCTCCCTCTGTCTCAATACACTTATCTTGATGAGATTCCCTGTAGTTAAGTAAAAACCTAAACCCGTCTTATTTATATGATATTACAATGTCATGAACAGCTAATTTCAATGCATTAATATTGTAAATAAAACTTTACATAAGAAAAGATCCTCGCTTGATTAATACAGCATAATTTGCTTGTCAAAGTTCAATGTCTACCACACATAATTAACGTCACTTTTCGACGTGACTGACTTTGGGCAACCTGTCTACAAATCGACATTAACTGTGCGTTTCTTCTCTAATTTCTCTGTAGCCCGTTTAAACATTTTCTAGGTCTACGCCCGTTTTTCCGGGGCTGAAACTTTATAGAATGTTGGAAAATGACGCCCTCCCCCTTTTGACGTCATTTTTGTTGGAGATTCTTCCATATAAAGATTACGATAAAATTTTACAGAACTTACAGAATGAGGTAAAAACTGCAACTTTTACGAATCAATTGTGTCATATCACAGGAGTGAATTTATGGGACTTTTGGGTGACAAATGCTCATATCAAAAGAGTTTTTCTCAGTTACACTCAGGTAGAGAATACGTCATGTTGGAGGTTGCGCCGCCTCGACATAAAATTGCTAACGAAAACATTAACAATTCATTAAATAATATAACTTATGATTTATAGTTTATTTTATAGAAAAAAATTATGCTTATTAAATGTTTAGATATTCATTGATGTACCTCAAGCGCTTTTAATTTTATGGCGCTAGTCCACGAACTTTAGGATAACCCCTCGTATATGCATGAAGAGATAACAGATTTAAGCAAATATCATGATGATTGTAGTAATAATTTCAAATTTTGTTTGTTGTCTGAAAGCAGCTCAAAGTTCAACAATTTTAAATTTTAAAAGATGCAATAAAGTAATTATGTTCCCCAAACGAAGTTGGGGAACATATTGTTTTTACTCTGTTTCTTATTATTATTATTATTTTTCTTCTTCTTCTTCTTCCTGGGTACTTTTTTGTCCGCGAGTGATCTCGTCAACTACTCATCCGATTGAAGTGAAACCTTTTTAGGGTTAATAGGAATGTTATGTAGATATGCGGAATCGAGGTCATTTTGCGCGCACGTGCATTCACGTGCGTGCGCGTGCAATGCGTAAAATGATCAATATACTTGATATAGCTATAACTTTTATATTTTTTGATGAAATGCTTTGATACTCAGAATATAAGAATATATTAAAAGTGTAAACAAGATGACATGGTCAACATGCACATGCATGCACGTGTGCGCACGCGCAAGGCGTAAAATGACAAATATACTTGATATACTCGTAACTTTTATACTTTTTGATGAAATGCTTTGATACTCAAAATATTTATATATATTAAAAGTGTAGACAAGATGACATGGTCATCATGCACATGCATTGCATGCACGTGCGCGCGCGTGCAATGTGTTAAATGACCAATATACTTAATATAGCCATAACTTTTATATTTTTTTTATGAAAAGCTTTGATACTAAGAATAAACAGACATATTATAAGTGTAGACAAAATGGCATGGTCATTATGAACATGCATGCAGGTGCGCATGCGTGCAATGCTAAGATGACCAATATACTTGATATAGCCGGAACTTATTTATTTTTTGATGAAATGTTTTGATACTGAGAATATAAAGATGCATTAATAGTATAGATGAGATGACATGGTCATCCTGCACATGCATGCACGTGCGCACGCGTGAAATGCAAAAAACGATCAATATACTTCATTGTCTTATTTAATGAAGCTTACAGGAAATAAGACACCAAAAGGGTGTTGGGGAGCGTTTGGGGAACATCTGTAACGGTCCCCGTTACAATTATAACTAGTTTCAATTCTAATTCTACTAGGTACGTGCATGTATTTTGGTGTGCATATCAGCAGTACCAAAAAAAAAAAAAAAAATCATAATAGACATACTGAATAGTATGCGTTTTATTTTACTTTTCTTAAAAAGTAAAGATAATTTTATGATCGAGTTATAAAGTGAAATATTGTCAGCTATACACGATGCCAAAGTCTGTTGGTTGGCTGCTTGCTTGCTTCAGGTCCCTTGAACACTACTGACTGCCTATTGAGGGATGCTTTAGATCTGTATTCGGCACTTGTGGACATAGAACAGAAAAAGATTTATTTCGTACCAACATCTGACTACTATGATACGGGACTTATACCGGTCTCGACGTCCGCGTTGAAATTCGAACTAGTGACGTAAGGATCAATTTTCTTGCTCCTCCACATTAGAGTGAAATGCTCTAACCACTGCATGCGCTTAAGCTTCGTGCTGCTAAGGTGTTCACCCTTAAAAGTCTAACTTTGAAGCTCAGTAAATCTTAAATTCTTTTGTCATTAAATCGTCCACCCATTGATATATTCAATTATTTTTGTTTTATAATGAGATTGGTCCTTTGAATTTAATTTAAATTTTTAAGGTTTTCTCATAGAAACAATTATAGACGAATCAGTGCCATGTTATCGATGAAACATGCTTTAAAATTTTATATTAATAACACTTGTTCGAAACCTACGGCGCCGTTAGAGGGCCAGATAAAAGAATATTTATTTGTTCGGACGAACTAGATACATGTATTCATTCGGACAAATTAGATATTTGGTCTGACAAATTAGAAATTTGTTCGGACAAATTACATATTCGTTCGGCGAAATGATACATGTATGACCGGTTTTCCTTTCCAACATCTTTTCCCTCTGTTTTCAGGTATAATTGATAAATAGAATGTATTAAACAGTAGTTTACCAATGTTGTATACTGTACAATTCTGACAACGGACTGAATTTTCGTAACTTGTCATGACAACGGACATAATTTGAATTATAGCAAAAATTTTCAGTTTGACTTTGCTTTGATTTTATTTCAGGGGCTAACAATACCTCATAATATTACCTGTACTTAGTGTTGGGTATTGTTTATTGTATAAAAGAAAAATATGTTCATTTCAAAGAAAATTTACACAAATCAAAATATGTTTTAAGCAGGGTGGTGTATCGCCAATGCAAACTACTGTAATATAACCTGTTACATGTAATATCTGACGTTATTGATGCACCAACAAATATATTGTGAGGTCTGTTCCCAATTGCAATTTGAGGGATTGTAATCAATTAACTCACTTGGAAAATGAAATTAAACTAATTATTAGTTCTCTGAAGTTATGACACCGGACGGATATCATCTTAACCTCACCTGTGAGGTCATGACAACGAACCAATTTTGCTTAACTTTAAAGGTCTCTGACAACGGTACGGAACTTAACGTGTTCCTGGCCGTGATTTTCACTCGAACATTCTCATTTAGGCTCGGGGATAAAAACACAGAACTCATTGGATAAATATTATCATATCCAACATATATATATATATATATATATATATATATATATATATATATATATATATATATATATATATATATATATATATATATATATATAAACAGATAAACTACACTGGTTTCATTTTCTCCTGAAGATTAAAAATGAAAGAAAAAAAACTGATGATTGAAAATGAATTTTGAAAATATTGAAGATTGAAAATGAAATCGGTATAGAGATTATTTCGGTAATTTTTTTTTGTTATACGATTGCGTGTGTGGACTTGTACTCTTTCTCTCTCTCTCTCTCTCTCTAGATAGATAGATAGATAGATAGATAGAGTATTATATATTCATTTAAACCGTAACACTGCAGTAAACGAATATCAGCTTCATTCATTTTTTTTATATTCTGCGTTTAAATGCCTTGTACAGCCGATATGAAAATATTGACGAACGATTCGCTTTTAGTATTATGATGACAAATAATTATTATTCTACAAAATTGCAAGGTTTTTGGACCATAGGCACCCTTAATGTATGCTCAAAATATTCATAAAATTTGATCCAAATATGAAATTAACTTTTCTGCACCTTGTATTCTCCTGTCAAGAAAAGTAGCATCTGGCCTGTCTAATAATGTGCCACTGGCGGATCTTAATCAATTATCAAAGCCACCACGGGATATATGTCGCTTCAACAGAATTTCGGTAAATGGGTTCAATGGACGCGCTAGTCATGGTCTAATTGCTTGATCCGCCTCTTTCCGCGTACATTATCTTTATACCCAGGTGAAATAATTGTGTAAACATCCAACTGCGAAACGATTAACGAAAAGAAGAAATGTCAATATAAAATTAATTCTTATTGTTATAAAGTTAAATTCTGTCTATGAATTGTATCTATGTCCGGGTGATTAATCTATGTATATTGACTACTTATATGGTCAACTTTTAAAAATGTGTAATCTCCTAGAAACACAGAACTTGAAAAGTAGATTTTAGAACAGGGTAAAAAAATTATTGATTGGCACCACTATATTTCCCGAACGGTGGATTCAGTTGTATAATTGAACATTACCGTGGGGTCTTTAACCTGCATATCGGAAGATTGGGGAGCTGTAGGGTTATTACCAAGAGAAAGGACACCTTTTGTAAGGGGGTGTAGCCATGGGGAATCAGGCCCAGGGACCCAGAGTGTTTGCGGTAAGTAATAAAGATAACTGTATAATTACTGAATAGATTGTTAATTTGTAAATAAACTTTCTGATGAATCTAAAGTAAGCAGGAATTTTATGAAAAGTAAATGCAGAAATAAAAAAAATCGTGTTTAATAAAAGACGGGGAAAATCAAACAAAACAGAATTTATTATTACTTTTTGAATTCAATCAATCCAGACTATTTTTCGTAATTTCAGATATGACAACGAATTAAATCTCTGATATGAAAACTGTTTTACCGTTATTTTCTGCAATTGTTAAGTATTTCAACTATATATAGTTTAGCGTTTTGTCCGGTATTTATTTTTTTAATTTATTCAATGAAAGAAGAATTAGAATATAACAAGCCCAGTGTAAGACTCTCATTTTATCGTACATCGTTCTTCGTCTTTAGTATATCATTTTTACCTTAGTTTGCGGAAATTCACTTAAGTAAACTTATGTTGGTCTGTTTATTGTAGGCAGATGATGTCTTGGACCAGGCTGCTGGGACGTTTGGGGAGAGTGGAGATATTCCGGTGGTTCCACCAAAAAATTCCAAAGAGGAACTTCTCAAAAGAGTGGACTTTACTTCTATAGATGAAGCTGCTATCAAGGTACAATGAACACATAAATACTTCAACGTATATACAAAGATGCATATGATTGTATTTGACTTCGGGGTTCATCTCTAATTTACACTTTTTTTTCTAAAATGAATTCCTTCTACCATAAGAGTTACTTGTGCCCTTTTTCTAGGCACCACCTGAACTTTTACTGGAGAATTTCTGGGATATATCGGACCACCTGGTGGTATCAAAAAGTTTTAAGGTCATTGATGACCTTTATAGAATCCGTGCTATATTTAGATGGTTGACGTCATTTGATGAGGAGAGTATTACGTCACAGATTCTTCCCCCTGAAAACAGTCCCCTGGAATACCTCATTAAAATAGGGTCAGACTTTGGAGACCATGCTAACCTGCTTTATGTCTTATGTGTGTAAGTGTGTTTCGAGACTCAGCGCGTTATAATTATTTTTTTTACCTAAACAAAACATTTGATTTGCAAAACAAGTAAATTTCCTCATTTAAATATAAGTAAAAAAACCATTTGATTATACCAGAGTATTTATAGTTCTACTTTTCTCCAACACTGCAATAAAGAAATCCGTTTTTGTTTTAGATCCGCCAACATACCATGTGTTGTAATAAACGGGGTGTCTAAGCATGGTTTTTATGAGGTTGGGGATGAAATTCGCAAAGAAGTATTGGCATCGAAATGGAACGCAGTATTTGTGAATGGGGAGTGGCGCCTAATAGACCCTTTCTGGGCGCACACCTCCATCCCTTACGATCAGTACCGTGATCAAATAGCCGTAGACGATGAAGGACAGATAACTCTCTCTACTGAACTGGGCGACACTGAGGGAGAACCTCGCCCGGTCAATGAATTTTTCTTTCTGTGTGACCCGGAAAAATTGATCTGCACGCACTTCCCAGACGAAGAACAGTGGCAGCTTCTGGACGACCCTATCACTGAGGAACGATTTCAGGAACAACCGTACTTCAGGGAACATTATCATGAGATGGGACTCGGCGTTAGTAAAGGATTCCCAGACACAGATAACTGTATCCTGCGACCAGACGGGAGGCCATGTAAAATTAGCTTTGATTTGCCCAAAGACAGAGGTGCAACCCAAGACTTTAAATTCTCTGTGACTGAACTGGACGTGGATGAAAACACTGACACTACTGACTTAGAGAAATATGTCATGATGAGCAAATCAAAATCCACATTACAGTTCGGCGTGTGCTTTCCTTTCATTGGTCGATTTCGCCTAGATGTATATGGAACGGATGACACGATTAACAACCAATTCAACTTAGTCTTTTCATATTTAATCCACTGTGGCGTGCCTATCAAAAACTTCAGTGGATTCCCAGAAGTCCCTGAGCATGGATGGGGACCTCATCCAATTGCGGAGGAACTCGGGATTGTTCCAATAAGCCCAAAGTCGAGTGTCATAAAAACAGAAACAGGAATTGTAGAAATACGATTTCCGGCCTCCAAAGCAAGGGAGATCAGCCACTGTTTAGGTTCCACAAATTTTGATGCGGCTACTTTGAGCAGACATGCTCTCGGCCGTTTAGACAGCGTCAGACAGGAATACTTTGTTTATGTGAGGCTTCCAGAACAGGGGGACTATACTCTTAAAATATTTGCGGACGTGGACGAATTGCGTGGCAAAATTCCAGATTCCACGATCATGACTTATCTTATTGAGTTTTCTGGAGAGGCAAAAAATGATCCATACCCTTTTGTATTAGGTAGTCAGATTGGTCCAAAATTAGGGGCATTCCAGCTTGGTGTTGAGGCTATCGATGAATCAAATGGTGTGTTAATGGCCTGGGATGGAAAATTAGATTTAACATTTACAGCTGATGAAGATTCCGCCTTGTTCAGCGAATTATCTACATCCAATCCAACTGCAAGGAAAGTTATGAATATCAAGGATAAAAGAGAGGATGGAAAATGGTTATTTAGTCTGAATCTACCTGTTGCTGGACTTTATTCCTTGAATCTGTTTGGATGGAACGAGAAAGAAAAACACAAGAAAGTGGAAGAAGTTTTTAGTTTCTTGATTCAGTCGACAGGGTCCCTCAGTAAAGAGGAACTAGAGAAACTAGAGAAAAAAACCAAAGGGAGGAGAAAAGTCAATTCCGGAATCACGAATATGGAGAGATCAAATACAGTGCTGGATAGTGAATCTCAGATCGCTAAGTCACGTGTAGATACTGAAAATAACTCATCAACAAAAGTGTCGTCTGACACTGGAGACATAATGAAAGATGGTAAAGGAGTCGACATAATCTCAAATTTGGCCTCCCCAAGAGACCCAATATCAACTGGCAGCTTTAACAGCATGAACAAACCTCCCACGTCAACTGGTTATGGGCGGCAACAGTCTCGGGGGAGCACAAAGACCACAGGAACCTTAGATAAAGAAAGTACTACAAAAGGAAGTACTCACTCTAAAGAAAAACCAGCTAGTGACGGAAGTTTAAAACATTCATCTTCGCAAAAAAACAGGGACACAAAAAGCAGTGACAAAGCAACCCCTCGCAAAGGTGTTCTGAAGAAAGGAGATGACAATAACGCGTCACGAGATGGAGTTCGAACCAAAAGGAAAGCGGTTTCTATTGTGGAAGCCACTGGGAAAAATGACGCAAGGCACAAGAAGAAGAAAGATGAATTAGACGTTCGAACGTTTCAAACCACCAAAAATATTGTAAAAATCGATATTGAACATCCAATTAAAACTGTGTTTACATCACTCCGCAAGACGGACGCCATTGATAAGCCTGGTGACAGAGCCGCAGTAATAAAAACTAAGGAGGGGATCGAGGTTCGAATCCAAGGATACGGACGGTATCAAGTGGACGTCATGACAAAAGAAAGCGGTCCACATGTTAAGATTGTAGGGCGGTACACAGTTATCCGCGTCCCTTCCTCCAACCCTTCAAAAGACGAGTCCATGTCAAACTCGAAGCTATTTGGAGGAAATGAATTTGACGGAAATGTGTTTTTAGACAGCGATGACGAAATTCCAGTCAGAGAAGACGTCACAGTCAGCAAACCGAAAAAGGTCACACCCAAGACTTCGGACAAGGTGGATTATGGAACAGTGGTCCCTGACTTGCGATCAATTAAAAGTGCAGACCTGTTAGACGAATTTCTACAGGGAAGATTTACTGATGGTAATAATCTTTACTAAAACAATTACTTCTTAATTACAGAAAGTAGCTCACACAATTGCACAATTGTTTATGTTGTATATGCTCCTTTATTTTTTTTCCAACAGCAACCAATAGAGACATGAAGGCTAAACTAAGAAAAGTCCTAAAAGTTAGAGATCTTAGTCTCATTCTGAAATATCTGGAACTTTATCAATCGACATCTAAATCAACAAGGAACGCCATCTTCCCAAAGGCCGTGCAGGACATCATGAAGAAAATCAAACAACAGCAAAGTAGGGATAAAATTGTTAATAAATGCAGTTGGTCTCATTATCTTGATTAGACCGATAAATATGATATCTAGTTAAAAACAATGACATAATTTGTAAATTGTTTATAGGCCTAGTGTGTTAAAATTGATATTGCATAAGTATTTATCACAGCAATGGATATGATCATTTCTTAAATTAAAATTATCACTTCACAGGACTGGTAGAAGAATGTAAAATGGAGACACCGGTCTTGATGGATGAAGAAATTCGTGTCTCCAAGACTCCGGATGTCGTCAGGGTGGTAGTCACTCATAAAATTATGGACAAAAATACAAGAAAAGAAAAAGTATCCAAAGTCACTCTGGAAATAAACCAGATCGCTCTGACTGAAATCAAACAGTACGCTAACCCACCAGAGGGCGTGCATGAATGTATCATGGCAACACTTGTGTTACTAGGCGACCAACCTGAAGATTGCAAGGTACCAGTAAAAGCTTATTTTGTTTTGGTCATCTTAAATGTTGAATACCGTTTTTCATCTTAACAATATAATGTACAACAAAATAAGATTTATTTTTATTTCATGGTCAGGATTTCAGTGCATGTCAGGGACTGTTGTTTCGGACTGGGCGACAGTATATAATGCGCAGAATCACTCAATTTAACACAAGATGTGTCCCACAAGATAGAGTAGACTTTGTGTCCAAGATTGTCAAGGAATTCAGTATGTGGCAGATCTTAGACGTTAGTAAGGGGGCGGCCGCTTTCTATATGTGGGTAAGTAAAGGTTAGAAATTCAGTATACTGCAGATCCTAGACGTTAGCAAGGGGGCGGCCGCTTTCTATATGTGGGTAAGAAAAGGTTAGAGAAATCAGTATGTGGCAGGTCTTAGACGTTAGCAAGGGGGCGGCCGCTTTCTATATGTATGTAAGTAAAGGTTAGGAAATTCCGTATGTGGCAGATCTTGAACGTTAGCAAAAGGGCGACCGCTTTCTATATGAGGTAATCGTTAGGAAATTTAGTATGTGGCAGATCCTAGAAGTCAGTAAGAGGCAACCACTTATTACATGTGCGTTAGTAATCATCAGAGAATTCCGTATGTGGTTAGAAAGTCCGCAGCGCTTTCCATACGAGGGTAAGTATTCGTAAGAAAATCGGGTGTAGCAGTTCCTGTCTACGGTGCCATAAAACTTAGGTGAGCTCACTTTTGATCTAAGTCTCACTTTATCACAATAAATTTACTTGTACTTAGATCAAAACTGAGCTCGCCAAAGTTTTATAATGCCCGACTGGAGCAGATCTAGATTAAGGTGGCTGCCGCTTTCTTCAATAGAATAAGTAATGACAGCTTCGTGGCTACATTTAAAATAAAATAGCTTTGTAGGAAAGGATTAAAGTTATAGTAAAAACATAATTTTTTTCATATCTGTTGCTTATCCAAATTAAAAAAGTACCAATTTAATTACTATTAACATCTTTTTCAAAAGGTAAAAGCTATGTTACATGACATCAAACAGAGAGCTCGTTCTGCGGCCCCATCTACAACCGCAAAATCTACCACGTCAGCCAAGAGAGTCCCTCCCAGACCCACCATCCTCCCAGAGTACATCAGTCGGAGGGACGGGACTATTATCCTCAGACTGTAGGGTCCAAAGAATTAAAGGGGGACATTTCAACCCAGAGAGGAGGGGCGTGACGACATCTCTGACGCATTTTATGATGATAATGATAAATATTAGTGACGATTGATTTTGGCAGATATATGTTGTGTAAACAAAAATATGACAGTACACTTTTATCAATAAAATCGATGCAACAACCATGTAGCTATTTGTATTTCATACGTGATCCCCTTTATTTATGATTATTCGTTAAAATAAATGAATTATGTTGACTTATAGTAGATACACAACTTCACAGTTTAAAATTACAAATATCGAGCAAGTAACCAAAGAAACATCCAGAATTCCAAGTTTATATATCCATGAACTTCATAAAAGATACTTCCAAACTGATATAATCTAATACGATAATCTATCTAGTACAAAATGCAGAAACACTAACGACATATGAATTAATTCTTGTATATAAAGCAACCATGCTTTAAAGTAAAGCTATTTTTGTCGATAAAAAGTAATTTGATGCTTTATTTTATACATTTTCTACATATACCATAAAATTTGAAATAGAATGAATAAATTCTTCAAACCCAGTGTTATATATGTCCAGGTTTAATCATAATAGGATACCAGAGCAGAGAACCTGTGTTAGTCTTTTTTTTTAATTGTCAATGCAATTAGTTGTATTTCTGAAGACTTTTACATACATGTATGTTATATAAACTAACAAGTAAAACAGTCGCTCAAATTGTTTAGTGTATAAGCTCCTGTATCAAAAGTCCAGCAGATTACAAGGATTAAGAAATTAATGATTTATGAACTGGATAAACTTTATATTGCTAAAATTAAAACCTATACCAAAACTGGTTCCAACTAAGCAATCAGAATTTTATTTGAAAAAAAAAAATCGACTTTCCTCACAACAACGGAATCCACAGAACACACAAGAATCAACATTTCTCTACAGATACATGTACATTTATATAGTCAATGTGTATTAGACAGTATTACTTTCAGAACTTATGACAAAAATACTACAAACATTTATTTACAAATGTTTGTAATGATGTGAGATATAGATTCCAAATCTAACTTTTACGGATCACCGTATAAAGAAATTGTTTTGTTGTTTTTTTTTTCCGAAATCGAACTGATCAAGTTATATTAATCACACCTTTTTTCATTGTCCTTGCTCGCTTATAATCCTCGGAAATAGGTCACAAAACGGATTAAGCCGCTCAATAAATCCTCTATACAATGATCAATACAGGGGATTAAGAAATGTGTATTCAGGACGAAGTTATTGTGCACTAAACAGATGGTTTCAATTTCAAATATGGCTTTATATTCCTGTAAATTCTAACTAAACAAGTACATGTAAGTATATTGTTTAATTCAATTTTCATATTATTTTCAACTATTATTTTTGTAAACTTGAACTACGATCGACCCATCCTGACAAGGGATCTGTATGTATATATTTCTAAGTATTATGCTTATTTTGTTAGATTAAAAATGTCAACCCTGCATGGTTATTCTCATGAATTTTCATGAATTTTATTAGCAAAGTTCTTCTCGCGTACATACATTAGTTTGCCGGTATCGTTTTATTTCATGTCCATTATACAGAGCTGAGGAGCCATATTTCTAGACGTGATAATAATGCCAAAAAAAGAGAAGACAAGTACGTCAAAAACCTCCACCAAACCGGTAAGAAATATCAGTGAGATTTCAGTTAAAATTGACCAACAATTAATGACTTACAATGCCTGTAAATATTCGCTCCAGAAGTTTAAAATTAATATTTTAAGTATTCTTGTAAATTAATACACTAGTAAAAGTCACAGGAGAAATATTATTTCTTCTTTCTTAAAAATAATTTTCACGCTTCTATACATAAAACTTGTTCATAGTCTACACACCACCTCTGCCCATTTATTGAAGTCATAAGATCTGTAAAATTAACATCCGTGAAATCTTTAGTTTGGAGCAAATTTTCTACTTCCCATATCCAACTCTTTTTCATTGACTTATCATTTTCAAACCGCTGCTGAGGGTCTGGGAATTTTATTTTACAAATATTAACTTTGCTAAACGTTATCGTGACTGGAAAGTTAAAGGAAAAGATCCTGAATATAAAATCATGATCACTGAGGGACTATTGAGCTTTAAATGATTTCAAATTCCTGGATTTTAACTTAAAATATTTAAAGTAATAGATTCAATAAATTCTTCAACACTTAGTAGTTCAAGCATTAATGAGTCGTAGAAACAGGATATTTATCCCAGAATTAGATGATTTTAATCAATTATACATAACGTAATGTTCAGACGTTTAAATAAGTTAAAAATCTGATGTAAAACATTTTTTTTAATTTACCAAGGGGAAAAAAAAGCTCCAAAGTACCAGACCAGAAAAAGAGGCATGTGACAGAATGCGTAAACTGCAATACAATTAGTACCTTATACTGATGTTACTTTTAAAATTCAATCCGAATTACACTTTTATGTAAAAAGCGCATTATGTACTAGTACAGTATATTCATTACGGAGGTCCAGTAATGCTTACATTTTAAAATCTTGGAACTCTGGAAATGATCGAAGAAACCTTTCACTTGGCTGGTAAATATCTTAAAATGAAAGACCCTGACTTGACCTGTAACATTATGTTGGACCAGGTCAAGGTCAAAAGGATTTTAAGGTAAAACTTTTGTCGAATCAATAAGTTCATATAGGGAAAAAAGTTAGGGTATGATGAACTGGTGTGTCTTGGCGCCTGAACTGAGGTCATTTGGACAGGGTCAATTTTGTCCCATTGAAATTGGGTAATTAGGTACTCGTGTTTAACAAACACGTTTTCCTCTTGTTAATTTCTCAATAGTTACTGCAGATACTCAAAATCAAACAGTAGTGTACCATACTATACTTTATTTAGGGAAATAAGGATTAAACCATTCAAAACTTTTTTTGGAGAATAAGGACCATACAATTCTTTAATGTGAGGGATAAAGATAGCTGTTCTTCTACTTTTATACGTATATCAAATCAATGCAATTTATTTACCGATATCAGGAACAAATAGAGGGTCAAGATGAGATTGTAAGTATGTGTTGACCCCTCCCACTTCCCCCCTTTCCCTAACTCAATGTTCATACTTAATAATATGTACATTGTATATTCCATAACGCCCTTTATGTTAACAGAAATCCCATTGATGTGTCCATTTAATTCATAGGCTTACACTTTGACTGTACATGATTAATTACAAATTGGATGAATTTTCAAAGAATTTCCTCTCCAGTCTTATGGGATAATACATTCAAGTTTATAATACAGTATAAAAACCATTAACTAAATTCCTGTAAACGTACAGTTTACGATGATAATAATAACGTTTTTGTAATTGTTAATTCATGTACCTGTTAATTAAACCCAAAATATTACGGATATAATCATTTTTCAATGTACAGTTCTGGGATATATGTAATGGCTTCATTTGTTGCACCCTTCCCAAATCAAATCAATAATAATTTAATCGTACTTATATATGAAAAATCAAATTATATATAGACTTTGATGAATGAAATAGAAATAAATAATAAAATGACAATTAATAGTTCTAACTTTAGAAACGCCAAAAACACCCACGTCAATATCTGAAGGGTTTGCACTTATTAAAAGAGGACATGGGATTCTTACATGGTATAAAATCGAGATGGTTCGAACAGCTTTATTTCCCCCACCTAATATGACAAATATTTATAGACGCTATTACATTGTTTGCACTGTTTAAATTTTTGATGCAAGAAAAACTATAAATTTGATTTCGTACCCAGCAGTATCCATCTCTTTCTATATACACATAACTATGATATTTTGATAGGATATCACAAATAATTTAATATACATATGTACTTTTTTCAGGAAGAAGAGGGCATACCGGAAGTGAAGCCACCTCAAACGTTAAAGAAGGAACTTCTCAAAGACGTGGACTTTTCTGTAATAGATCACCATGCTCTGAAAGTAGGACACTAGAATTGTATATATATATAGCTCATAAAATATATTTTTGTTTGTGTGTTGTTTAACGTCCCATTCGAGAATTTTTCACTCATATGGAGACGCCACCACTTGCCGGTGGAGAGCTCCAATCTTTTACCTATACTCGGCACTTAGGGCCATTGAGCAGTGAGGGATCTTTTTCGTGTCAGCACCTACTGCGACACGGGACCTCGGTTTATACGGTCTCATCCGAAGGACCGGTCTCCATGTCCCACAGTGGGATTCGAACCCGCGACGTAAGGATCAACTCCTTACTCCGCGATTCTAGAGCAGACGTTCTAATCACTGCGCCACGCTGGCGACCCCATAAAATATGTAGAGCTTGAATAGAACTATGTCATATACATCTGCATTTATGATGGTTGTTCTGAAAAAAAGACTGAATTCTTCTTATTTTTTGCTAGGCCTCTAACTCACTGCTAACGGAGTCGTTCTGGGATCTTGCCAAGTACCTATCGGATGATGACGCCTGGAACGATGATCTCGTCAAAGTCCGCGTCGTCTTCCGCTGGATTGCGTCATACAACGTCAAGAAAATGAAGATAACCGAGACGCCGCCCCCTAACACACCTCTAGAGTACTTCAGTAAAATCCAGAGTGGATTCGGTAACCATGCTCAACTCTTCTTTATAATGTGCCAGTAAGTCAAAGAAATATTTCAGAATACTCCAGAGAGTTACTTGTTTGTTCTCTAATAGATCAGGACTCACGTTTAAGTAGAAGTTAATACAAGTCTTTGTTTTACAGGTTGCTTGACATCCCTTGTGTAGTTGTAGACGGAATGACTAAAAGTAAAGTGTACACGGTGGGTGACCCGATAAATCAAGAAGAAATGGCGGCGCAATGGAACGCAGTGTACATCAAAGATGAATGGAGGCTGATCGACCTATTCTGGGCCAGAGAGTGCGTGGAGGTAGACTCCGGAAACGATGATGAATATGACGAAAACGGAGATTTTATGTCTATTGATGATGTTAACAGCGAAACCGCGGATACCATATCAAAGGCTTCCTTCATTCGGTACCACCACAGCGAGGAAGTGGACGAGCAGTACTTCCTCACGGACCCCAGACAGCTTATCTGGACGCACTTTCCTTTCGACTCAAAATGGCAGCTGATGAAGACCCCAATGTCCGAGAAGGATTGGGAGGAACAACTGTACGTCAGAGAACGCACCCACGAAATGGAACTCAGCATCAAGAGAAATCTGTATGGAAAATGTGTTGTGAACGCCAAAGACGGCAAGGCTGACATCATTATTTGGTTTCCAGAGAAAAGGGGGAAATTTTATGAATTTAAGCATTCATTTAAGCGGACAAATGTATCGCAGGGCAGAAGGCCTATTGATAGAATTCTAAACAGATTTACTATCTTCGACCAAGTCCACGACCGGATCCACTTTAAGTGTATGCTCCCTGTATCAGGCAGTTACTACCTCGATTTTTACGGACGGGATAAAAATATAAAAGACCTCTCTGAATTTGACTTACTGTGTACCTACGTTATAGTCAGCACTACCCCTGACAAAGAGCCAGAGCCACTCCCAGACTACCCTCGTATAGGATGGGGAGAGTGCGCACGCTCGAGAAAGCTAAAACTGCTTCCCATTACACACAAGGAAGCCTTCATCACGACAGAAGACGGAATTCTGGACATCAGGATGCAAGGGAGTGACAAAATTAGACTTAAGTTAAAACTAAAGAGCACGATAGTCGACGAAGCTAACCTTGTAAAGTACGCCATGATGCACTGGCACGCCGGGGAATATCTAATACAGACCCGCCTTCCTAAGCCCGGTAAATACGCCCTTAAGCTATACGGTTTTATGGAACCTAACGCCACAGAAATGGTCAATGTTTATAACTACATGATAACGTGTACAGGCCGCAGTGTGAAAAACTACCCCTTCCCTTGCTTTGCACAAGACAAACTAGGTGAAGACCCTAACGCGTACAAAATATGGGTCCGTGGATTCCAGACAGAGACAAGCTTCATAGAAGCTAAAGAAGGGCACACCAAATTAGAATTCGAAGCCAAAGATGGCGTACTGCTTCTGACTGAACTTAACACAAATAACCCTTTTGCCGCAGAGCGCATGCGTGTTGTGCCGAAGGAGGAGAGAAATCACCAGTGTTACTACTTAGATCTTCCGGTTGAAGGGGAGTACTCATTTAATCTGTTTGCGTATAAGAAAAGCAACAGCCAGAAAATACACAACGCATTTACTTACCTTGTTCACTCATCAGGACGACCTATAGAAAAGGGTCAAACAAATACAACTAAAGGAAACACCAGCAGAAATTTCTGGAGAGACTGTAATGAGATAACGACAGAGACAATAGAAACAACCGATGACGAAGTCATTCTTCCGGTACCAAGATGTTTGGATAATTTGATAGCGTTTCTCAGCAAGCGGAAGTCCGAGGAGCCACCTAGCGCTAAATCTGTAGAACGTTTTACAGAGAAAGAGATCGAGCTATATAGGGTGAAGGTCCCGGATGTGGGTGAGTATGTCTTCACTATTTATGAGAAGAAAGATGCTGGTTTTGTGAAGAGCAGAGCCAGATACTTGATCCGGAAGGTGGAGGATGATGACGAAGAGAAGGAAGACCAGGACTTCCTGGAGGTTCTGAGTATCATCCGTGACGAGCGGAGAAAGGAGGGGAAGAGCGTGACGGAGGCCGACAAACATCTAAACAGTAACAGAAAGATCCAGCTGGAGCAACCCAAAGGTCGGTCAATGTAATAAACTTAAAATATTCCTAGTCACAATGCATGCATCCCAATACCAAAACACACAAGATCTTTTTAGGTCACCTGAGTCACTCAGGTGACCTATTGCTATCTCTTTTCGTCCGTCGCCGTGCGTAGTCCGTCGTTCGTCGGTCGTAAACTTTTATTGAAACAAATTGAATACATAGTTATGATAAGCAAGAGTGACTTTACCAAAATTATGAAATTCATGACCCCAGGGTCAGAGGTTCTGGTGCTACGGCGGGGCTATATAGATCATATAGTGAAAGTGCATTATTTCTTTGAAAATCTTCTTCTCTACTCCTGAGTATTATTTAAACAAATGCATAGTTATGATAAGCAAGGATGCCTCTTCCAAAATTGTGAATTTCATGATCCATGGATCAAAGGTTCTGATGTTAGGGCGGGGCTCTATTTATTATAGAGTGAAAATGCATTAATGCTTTAAAAATCTTCTCTGCACCTGGGCATATCAGAGGCAAAAAGAGTAAATGTTTTAATAAGGAAGGGTATTTTTACCAGATTTTTGAACATCAGGACCATTTGGTCAAGTGTTCTGGTCCAGGCCAGGGCTCTATTAATTTGCATTCTACTGAGAGGAGTTACTCCCCTTTGCCACTTGTGATAATTAATCACTGTAAATAATGTACTTGAAAGGTTAATAGAATAAGAGAATTATGCAAGAATTTTTATTGTATAATACAAAAAGTACTTTCATAGTTTTAATGATCAGGTAGACTTGTAAATAATAGATAAATAAAAGTGAGACAAAAATAACTTGTCTTATTAAATGTTCATCAAGACCAAGAGAGGCCAATGTAAGAGATTTCAACAAGGAATTAAAAGAGTACAGAAGCACTGATAGTTTGTTTACATACTGTCTGGTGAGAGTGATAAATGGGGAACAGATTAAAACCTAATTTATGAACTGTTCGTGAATACTAGACTAATATTGTTGATCCTGATTACCCTATTTTTCTTGCTTTTGGGCAACAAAACTAACTTCACCTTTCAGTTCATTTTATACTCTATGGATCATCTAAATTGTTGTATTATTCTCAGGTGACCGTTAAGGCCCTTGGGCTTCTTGTTTAAATATAAATTTAAAAAAAAATCCCATGAAAAAATCCATATTCCTTTTTTTCGTATCATAATTCACATTTCCACCTAAAAAGGTCTGGTTGATTTCAAACTAATGTAAGCAAGTAATTAGAGCAAATATTCGACAATTTTAGTACGAATTTTGACATGATTTCTTTCTCCAGTAAACTCAAACGAGTTGTAGACAGAATAACAACTATTCACAAAAAATATTTTTTGACATCTTTAAAAGAGTTACTGGTGACGGCCAGATGTTGTAATGACACTGATGTCTAACTTTAATCATAAGTTAATGACAAACATCTTGTCTTTTCATAAAAAAAAATATCTCATGTATGTCCTGAAAATCTTTACTTTGATCGTCTCTCGGTCGAGATTTGAATAAGGGATCTATCTTTAATGACCGTTATTCATCTTGTGTATTTTAAAAATCTACCCGAGAACATAAGTTAACGAGGCACGCAAGGACGCCTGTGCCAGAAATTGAAAGGTAAACAATTCCCCGGTGGTGTAAATTGCTACAAAGTAAACTATTTTAAATACTTCGTTCTTTTTCCATTTTGAAATAACGTGTTCCGCGTTCTTCTGTTTTATATACAAATCAAGAAAACACAGAGAAACAATAATCAATAGCTCGGATCAATTTCTGTTTTGTAGTCAGTGAAAGAATAGCACTTTCTCAGAGGCTGAAATCCGCCATTAATTCTCGGAGACCTGCTCAGTTGAAGAGGGCACTTGACGAGTACAAATATCTAAAGCCGACCCAGACAGACGATTTACTGGTGGACGGTACCCGGCTCCTCAGGAAGCTCGAGGCACAGGAAGGTTAGTAATGGTGGTTTGGATAAGTTACCTTAAAGACCTTTAATTATATAAAGTTGGAATGTAAATGTGTCAATTAGCCCTTAAATTCATGTACATGTATAGTGTACAATTAATAAGACTTTTTTTTTTATAATTTGGTGTAAAACATAACAGTACATGAACTAGTGTTTTGTCAGTAAAGAAAATAAGATCTTAAAACTGTGACGCTAGTATTAGTGAGGATAGTGAGGATGGAAAATAAAATCTGAAGTTTGAGTGCTAAAGTAATTCGATACTTTAGTTCATGACCAAATTGATATGAATTTTAATGGTAGTGCCAACAGGCAGATGTCCTATTTGTGGAGGGCTTTAAATCAACTATTTGCAATCTGCTCTCCTTTAATTTTTATAAAATTTTGTAAAACAAATAATTTTTACAACTCGCATGTTTAATAGTGTAAGTAATCTTTAACAACTTTAATTAACAGGTTTGATTAGGGCGTATGAAGATCAAAATTTAGAGGACTTAGAAAAGGCGATAGTAAAGGCCCGAACTATAAATGACCCGTCTATGAAACAGCCCTTGGCCTTAGCCTCAAGATTACGGGATCGTCTTGCTGCTAAAAATAACCTCAGAGACATGATGCTGAACGCAGACATCCGGACTATTTACGAGCTCCGGAAGTTAGTTCATCCACCAGATGGCGTTCATCAAGCTATTAAGGCGGCGCTGATTCTGCTGGATTCTCCACGCCAAGAAGTCGAGGTACAGTGTTTAATTGCAGTCATTAATGTAAATAACGAATACAAATGGTTCAGCTTGTGAACTGTGTGCCACTTCGTCATACACACTGTATAATCCTAATTTTTATGCTTTTTTTTAAAATTTAAATATGCCGTTTCTTATATCCTTTTTGATAGATAATAAATAACAAGTCAAAAAATCTTTCTGAAAATATTTTGTTCATTGGTAAAATAAGAAGGTCATCCGCCACTTCGCTAACCTCAGTAACAACCATCTCTCCTTTCTGGCAGTTAAATATCAATATGAAGCCTGTTAATTCAGTGTACACAATTTCGAATAATTTCAAATAAATGTAATTATTGTTCATTAATGTTAAGTTTACAAATCTTAGTATGTTAATATTCTTATTGAGAAAGTATGCATAGCCCTAATATTTATGATTTCAACAAATATCTACACTATTTGGGGATACTTTCACATTTATTCGATAGTTTGGGATCTGTTGTTCTTAAGGAATTTTAAGAGTTTTCCCCCTATATATTCAAACAAACTTTGATCCTCTGTTGTGGCTCCATCCTAGCTCAGAACAAAGGGACCACAATTTAAACAAATCTATATCTTCTTTACCTGTGAATGCTTGCATATTAATATACATGTATATTCTTGTTTTTTGAATGGTGAGGATTTTTAAATGTTTTTTTTTTTTTTTTTTTTTTTTTTTTTTTTTTTTTTTTTTCACAATCTATCACTTTCTGGTGCTATCGCCCCTCTTTTGCCTCGGGGCCTCTAGTTTTGAACAAAAAATCTTCACTACATGAGGGCGATTTTAGATTATCTTAAACATGACCTGTTATTACTTGGGAGAGTTTTCTAACGCACAGATACGTACAAATCCCCTGTAGACGATAAGGATCAACTAACAACTAAATTGCATGACAAACGAGATACTCAGTTTTATCCCATCGTCAGCTTTCTTTATTTATGTAGTAATATTCCACTATCACCTGCATATGGTGTTCACGTCTCACAACTTACGAGTTCGATACTCACTTGCACGATCAATATTAAACCGAGACAGGCTACCGACAAATAAGTTGATGTTACAGGAATTTACAACAACCTCGTTTAAAGTCAGCATTTCCGAAATGGTCGTTAAAATGACCTTGTTAGCAAATATAACCCATCACTGGGTCGTATTTTGACTGACGTTTCATACCAATTGTTAGGCCTCTGTATATTTATACTTGTTTTGACTACAGAATGTTCCATCTACCTAATCAATACACAAGAGTTCACGACGGTTGTGACGGTCGATAGGGGATGCTTACTCCTCCTAGACACTTTATTCCACCTCTGGAATTTTCAGGGGTCCTTGTTTTATGCTCTGTTAACAGATCTGTATTGTTTTGTATTTTTTTTTCTGAGATTGATCACTGTTGGTTATCTTTACCTCACTTGAACTTTCCGGTGAGCTTAAACAGGCTGCGATATACCGTGGTAACTCAGCGTATTAATTAAGTATAAAAGAAACAGTAAAAGAACTGGGTTTAAATTCCCCATCTGGTTCCAACCTATACCCATAGAAAAATCCCCTTCTAAGAATGATATTCTTCACAATCGCCTTTCAGTTTTAAATACGTTTAACATTTCAGTTAAGGGAAGTCTCATTTACCGTACATGTACTATACTGGATTCTAAAATTTTATAAAAATCCTTTAGAGTATTCTGCAGGGTCAAGTAAGTGTTCAACCAAGCTCCTTCCTCACTTCTTACCAATACATTATAACTGCTGTGATAGAAAAACTTCGGACGTATTGCAACATATTCAAGAAGTGGTGTAAATAAAATGAAAAAAGAAGAACTTTTTAAATTTAAAATCCTTAAACTTTTCAAACATAAATAGTATCAGAACATATGACCTTTGTACGCCTAATACAACTATAATTCCTCACGATGAATTAAAGAGCAGGTTTTTTGACGTCATAGACAACTGCTTCCTCAATAAAAATGTAATTCGTAGATATTCATATCTTGTGATTGGTCATCTACAGAATTACTTTGTTAAAAAGTAGTCTGATTCTACATACAAATACTCTGAAGTTGATATTTAAAAATAGATGCTGGAGTTCCTCATTGACAATACCTATGTAGTCTTAGAAGATCAGCCTTCCAGCAATCTGTTGGAAGTCCGATTGGCACTAATTGTGCTCCTTTATTAGCCGACCTGTTTTTATATTCCCATGAAGCAGAAGTTATTCAACAACTTCTTCATGAGAATATGAAAACTCTTGCTGTGGCCTTCAAATCAACATTAAGATATATTGACGACGTTTTATCAATTAACAATAGTTACTTCCCGTTCATACGTCGATTTGATATCTCCATGTGAACTCGAAATAAGATATCAAAGAGTCTCATATTTGGAAGTTTCACTGACTATACATGATAATGGCCATCTAGCAACTAATCTGTATGACAAACGGGATGACTTCAGCTTTTCTATAGTCAAATTCACTCATTTATCTAGCAATATTCCAACATAAACTGCATATGGTGTTTTTGGCTCCCAAACAATTCGATACGCAAGATCATGCTCTGAATACGATCGCTTTTCAAACCTAGGCAAGCTATTGACAAATAAGTTGTTGTTAAAAGGGTTTCATCAATCCTGTTTAAAACAGCTTTTGGCTAATTCTACAGTCGTTATAATGACCATGTTTGAAAATACAACCTATCGTTGGGCCGTATTTTGTCTGAAACGGTTCTTACAACAATTTGTTAGATCAATGCTTTAATACTAATTTTAACTACAGAATACTCTGTCTCTCTGATCAATACACAGGACTCAAAGCGGTTGTGACCCGTCGACAGGGGATAGTTACTCCTCAAAGATACCCGATTCCACCACTGGTATTTCCAGGGGTCCGTGTTGCTGCCCTGTTCACGATTTGTATTGTTTACTTGATATATCTGAGATTAATCACTGTTCGTTATCTTCACCTTTTGCATACTACATGTAGTTACTGTTCATAAAATATTTAACACACATTCTGAGATGGAAGTGTAAAACTCAGATATGTATATATATAGATTAAAAATCATAAAAGAAAAAAGAAACATTACCTTTATCGGATGTCTTTAATGGAATCAAATGTGATGGACTGTGATCGGCTACGGCCGGAACAAAAGCTAAAATTTAGTAAAAACAAAACAAACAAACAAAACACGAAGTACATACAATGACATTGTTGGACTGTAGAGTTTTATTTTCTTCTTTTTAAAGGACTGGAATAAATGTTTAGCCATGCTTGGAAACAGAAGTCAGGACGGGTTACGATACCGGATGGCTGAACTCAATCCCTCTGACGTCAGCCGGAAGAACGCTCTGGATGCTAAAGTAACAATAGAACCGTATACGGCAGAACAGCTCAGATACATCAGTCCCGGAGCTGCCGCCTTCTATCTCTGGGTATGAATTAATCAACTCCTCATTTCAGTCACATAGAATACTGTTTTAAATTACGTTTAAGAGAAATTGACAGTCTTGGAATTCTTGGGAAAAACTCTTTGAAATTATTATGCCGTAATTATCTCAATGCATACACATTTTCAAGACAACTAGCAAATAACGGCTTAGTTGTAATGTATTACTGCCTTGTACTCTTTATGCTTTTTTGTTTTATAGAGTGATCAAATAATTAAAGAGGTGGAAGCAAACAGTGGAGTACTGAAGAAAAAGCCACCAAAACCAAAAACCCCAGTTCCTCCCCCACCCCGCGAGCCAACACCTCCACCACCGAAGAAAAAGAAAGAACCATCGACGAAATTTGTAACCCTGGACAAACTTATGAAAGAAAAATATCCAATGGATCCGGATCCCAACGCTAAACCAGAAAAGCCTACTCCCACTCCGGCTCCGGAGCCACCGACCAATGATGATACATCGAGCTCAAACAGCTCCTACGTCGCACGACATCAACAGCGGACGAATTACTATGGAAAGAAAAACAGAGCATCAAGGGCAAGTAATATTAATAGTGAAAGTCCAGTTTCTAAAACTCCTGTGAATTCTATGTCGCCTGATCCTAATCAAAAGAATCCAAACAAATCCGAGTCACCAGATCGGAGGCGACCCAGGAATAAGCCGGAAAAGGACCCGAAAGGCTCGCGACCACCAAATGATCCGGACGAAAAGACAGACAAAACGAATAAACCAAAGGAAAATAAAAATGTGCCAAATAAAAGTGTCCCATCGAAAAACGCACCAAATATCGGAAATCCGACAAAAAATCCACGTGATGCAAGTCCTGGAAAAGCTGGGGCACCAAACAGGGACATTAAACGAAATGAATCTCCAACAAGGAGGCCCGATAAAGGGGAGTTAAAACGAATAGACAGTCGTGGTTATTACAAGAATTTCAAAGCACAGCAAATTCTCAATCAGAGCATGGAACCGGATATTCTACAAATAAACCACGATACGGATCCGGTGGAGGATCCGTTAGAACCCAATGACCCGAAAGGATATAACTCTCTTTATCAGAAGAAGAAACATTTTAATGAGTTTAAATCATTACCCAAACAAGCCGTGTGATGATATTGTGCTCATTTCGTTTGTAAAAATTTTTCTCAAATAGATGTGTACATGAACAAAGGGGAACAACTCCCGGAAATCATCTATACATGTACAATATTGAATGATTATTTTTAAATACGATACTGGGAATGAATTATGCAGTGCAATTTTGTGAAAAATAAATTGTAAACTACAGATTTTTCTGTATACTTGTTAGACTTAAACCTTGCATCTCTATATTTATCAAGATCTTTTTTAATACACATCAGTACACATCAATTATTGAAGGATTTGTTTTCAAGTGGGTACCACTGTTGTCCCTTTACAAAAGAAATGCATAGAATTCACCTCTTAAATTTATCTATAAAGAAAAAACGTAATAAAGAATCTATCTTTTATTTTGGATACGGTCTAAATTTCAAAATAATTGAAGCTTCTAGTGGGAAGCTGTACAGAGCTCCTACATGTAGGAATATCTATTGCTCTTATGACCTACAAGTATATAATTTGGGATATGATTTATAGTGCACTTTTAAAATAATGAATTATAATTATTTTAAACGCTTCAATAGAAGTGGCATGGATAAAGGCAGACTAAAGACTTGTTCAATATTGAAATATTTAAAAGTGAGGGTGTTTGGTGGATTTATTCATTAAATGGATAATGAAATATATTTCTGTGACCTTCTTGGTGAATATATTTTACCGACTAACACCTAAAACACAACTAACACTGTTATAAATGATGGTTATTTAATGATTAACCTGGCACGGTCTTTCGATGCAATCTTTTGTTCAATGATTATCTTAAGACAGTATTAGCCCATTTCTTTCTTTGGCGATTAATCCTTCTCTAAACCTTAAACCTAATAAGCAATATTTACATTGAACTCTACAGAGAAAAAAAGACTTAAAACGACTAACTCTTTGTATTAGTTTAAAATTTAAATTTTACAGAATATAACAACGGCCTTAACATAGCAAGTTTGACTTGAATGATAAAGCGCTATGTAAGATAAGTAAGTCTATTATGGATGGTATTTTCATAGTGTGTAATCATTAAAATATTGACCTTAACTCCACCTGCCTTGTTGCCTAACGGCGGAGGAACTGGGAGGCTCTTGATTTCATTACCGTGCATTAAGGACAGTGTATAAGGACAGAGGGTGAGGATGGGGTCTGGGGCCTCACAAATTGATGATGATGACGATTATATGGATGAGGAATTAGACAAACCTCAACCGAAAAAATCCCAGCCTAAAAAAGTAAGTCAAACATCTGATAGAGAATGTTGTGTTCAGAGACGGTGTAAAATACACTTCTTTGATTATAGTTTTTTAATAAATATTTCTATTATACTAGTTCAATGAAAATATAAATTGAAAACATTCAAAAGAGCTATAAAGTAGAATTGTAAATAAATTCTGTTAAATATAGCTTACAACTGTAGTTGTCAGGTGGGGGAAACTTAAGTATTTATATAATATATAATATTTGGAGTAAATTGTACACAAAATCACTTATTTGCTTATTTTATTAATTCTTTCATAAACTGTCATTAATTAGAAATTACAACGAAAGTCTCGGAAAGGTAATCAAAACCCCTCCACTGAAGTCCCTACAACATCCAAAGATGAATTGCTGGCAGATGTGGACTTCAAGTATATTGATAATCACGCTTTCAAAGTAAGAATTATCCCCGACTTACGTAATATACCAAGTAATAAGGTGACTGTCGCGGAACTTGTTCTTATTTTTCAAAAGGGCTCATTCTTTGCAAACTAAATTTTTATGTATAACTGTGATTGTTACCCGGCACCACGTGTGCCAACGGAAGAGGACCTGACACCTGAATTCTTTAAAAGTTGAACTGATACGATTGTATAATGAAAATCAACATTAAAAAGATAAACAAAGACAATTCAGAAATTAAGATGACGCTTTAAAATGACACATTTCTTAATAATGCCAAGATCTCAAGGATAGGCGTGTATATATCATGGCCGTAGAAACCGGGGGGGGGGGGGGGACGTCTGATAACATTTTTTTTTGTCAAGGAATTTTTGGTAGTTGAACTGAAAATGCACTTTTATCAAGTTGAAGCTAAGATTTTCAAATAGCCAACCATCTTCCCAGTCTTTCACTAATTTACAATTTTCAATTGTCAATGAGTACAATGTCATCACTAATAAATGATCGGAAACAAATTTCAATGGAACAAATTTTAAATTTGGGAACGGACATCTCTGTGTAAATCCACAATAAATCTTTTGGTAAATTCCGATTGGTTGATATTACACATAATAAAAAAAAAGTTTAAGTACTGTTCTATTTATACGGATATTTTCTTTCGTTTTTAAAATTAAATTATACATTAATTTGCCCATAAGAAGCAGCATTCTTGATTTTTGTTTTGAACAGTTACGTATAGCCTCTCAAGATTAAATCGGAAGTAAGGTAGAGAAGAAACTTGTTTAAAACAACTCGAGTTGGATCAAACGAGAAATGTGTTAAAACCTTCTTTATTTAATTTTTTTTACCAAAGAAAGTGTCACACTTCCCTTATTTTACATCGACATTAATATTAATATCTGATGATTAACATGAATATTTGTATGATATATGTATCATGATATTAATGTGAAATGCCTGTGCATATGGTAGGTGTGCAGTATTTATGAAGCAATGACGATAATTGACAATAATGACAATCATTGGGACATGCAGTTCTGATAAATAAAAACATAAATCTACGTATAAATGGATATTCTTTTTTGCATTTAAGAAAGCTTCAAACACTAATCAAAGATGTTTTTTGGACTTTGAGAAAGCTATATCATGTAAAGGTGTACATATTGAGTTTATCCAGTTCTCTTTCAACATCGGGTACCTACCATATTTCTACAGGAAAAATGTTTTAAAAAGACCATAAAGTTCAGTGAATAAATATCACTGTTTAATAACATTGGAAAAATACATGCAAATTATATTTTCAATGACCCTATTTTTCTGTAACATAATGTAAAATTCCCGCTTATTCTATTTTTCAACAAAGAACAGATCACTCAAACTGAATAAAATACCATTGAATTGGAAGTGAATAGTGTTTAGAGGTCCCTTAATTTGTTTTCATGCAAACTGATAATTTCAACCCCGTTTCAAGAGTTGGCAGTTAACTAGGTTCATTAACAAAAATTTTACATATTCAACTCCTAGTTGTAAAACACATTTGCAACGTCACCTTATTACAGCCGGAACTGTTCTCAGTACAAGAGACCATATATAGAAAATGACTTACAACGATAAACAGTTTCTCATCTTCGCTCTGTATTATGCGTCTTCTATCGTCGGAGGATGACGGTGCCTGATAGACCACAGGGGCTTATCACGAAATATATATAGATACCTTATAAAAATACTAAAGGGGAGTATCCAAGAACAGGAAATTAACTACCACCGATTTTGAGGCTCAAGCGAGCTTTTTTATCTAGAGCCTCTAAGCGTGTCTCTGTCATGTGTCGTCTGTCACTTTTTCGACTTCTTGTCCAGAACCAGTAAACCAATTTCGGCCAAACGTGCCACAAATCATCCTTGCCTAAAAGAAAATACAAGTTTGTTAAGTGAAGGGCTACACCTTCTTGAAAGGGGGAGATAATTAAGAAATAGTGAAAATTCGGTAGGGTCATTGAAAACACTTCTTCTCAAGAACCATTGGGCCAGAAAAGATGAATCTTTTGCGACAGCTTCCTGACATAGTGTCAAGACCAACGCCCCCGAGGTAGGGCGGGGTCGCAGTAAGAGATCCAAGTTTAACATGTCATATATAAGAAAAAAAAATCTTCTTTTCAAGAACCCGGAAAGATGGAACTTTTATGAAAGCTTCCTGACAGAGTAGATTCAAGTTTGTTCAAATCATTGTTCCAGGGGGTAGGATTTACTTCTGCTGCAGAGCAGCAAGGCCACGTTATAGTGACATTAAAGCAAATAAAGGATGTTTAGATTTACTGAAAATTAGGTAATGTCATGATTCTTTGTGATTGGGTTGACTACAATATGGAGTAAGGATTTTTTCAAGTGAGTAAAGATGGAAAGTGTTTTTTTTTTAAGTATTCTGATAATAGGGCCAAAGTATCTCAGGTGAGCGAGATTGAGTAAATAGAAATAAAACAAATCCATCAAAATTGATGGTCACGGTAAGGATTTCTACTGCGAGATTCCTCCCTTCTGTATTTTTTAATAGGCCCCAGGGTAACTATATTCATAGACAGTAAATATTTCGTGACAAGCCTCCGTGGATAGACTAGGTACATATCTGTACTCAACAGGCTCACCACTGCCTGTTAAGTTGAACAAGTCCGGAGTTTTAGAATGTGTGTACCTTGGAGGAGTTAAAAATGTGTTGTCTTCACACTATTACTACCTTTCATTTGTGATACTATGAGAATATTTTTTATTGAAATGCTCAGGTTTGCCGTTGATTTAATTTACATAATTGTACAAGACACATGTACATGCATTTAATCTTAAAAAAGAGCGGAAAACGAAGAAAAGAAAATGCAATTAATTAAATTGACATGTTTAAGTATTATAGCAACTTTAAAAGCTATTTTGTTTTTAAATTTCATAATTAACAAAAATATTCTTTTCTGAATACAAATGTTCAACTTGGTATTTAATATGGTAAGGTTAATGTCTGAAAAAACTGTTTAAAAAAAGGAAAATTAAGAAAATAATAAAACACGTTACGTATACTCGTAACATTTGTAACCCACAGGCCCCTCACTACCTGTTGTACACTTCCTTTGTGGAGCTGGCGGACTATTTAACAGACGAGGGCGCCTGGCAGGATGACCTTGTCAAGGTCAGATCAGTGTTCCGCTGGATTACGTCATACAACCTAAAGAAAATGCAGATTGGTCCCAATCCGCCCGCGAACACTGTCCTGGAGTATCTCAGCAAGATCAACTGTAACATCGGCAACCACGCCAACTTATTCTACATACTGTGCCAGTAAGTAGAAACCAAGCATAATTCCAAAGAATTTCAAAATACAGTTAAACCTCGTTAATCGAACTCGACAGAACCGACACATTTTTCTGAGATATCTGGGGGCTCGAGATTTTGAGGGTAACATATTTTAAGAAAAAATGCATGGGACTTCCAAATCACATATCCATGGTATTCGAGTTATCCCTGTTCGAGATACCGATTGATTGATTGATTGTATATTGTTTTACGTCCCAATCGAGAATTTTTCACTCATATAGAGACGTCACCATATACCGGTGAAGGGCTTCAAATTTTGACCTTTACTCGGCACTCAGGGCCATTGAGCAGTGAGGGATCTTTATCGTGCCAACGCATGCCGTGACACGGGGCCTCGGTTTTTAAGGTCTCATCCGAAGGACCCGCAACTTTCACTTCAAAGTGCCGAGCGCATGGCGAAGGAACAGTTGCTACCTATTTTTTATCGACTTAGGTCTGTCGCGGCCGAGATTCGAACTCACGACCTCCCGATCACGGAGCGAGCGCTCTACCGACTGAGCTACCGTGAACGGTCGAGATACCGAAGTTCAGCTATTATTTATTCTTTGAAAAGCTTTCATTCTATTATGCAACTGATTGTATATAACTGTGTTTAAAAAAATCATCAGTATTACCAATATTTATTTTAAGAATGGTGGACGTGCCTTGTGTTATTGTTGACGGTGTCACCAAAAGTTCCGCGTACAAACTCGGGGAACCTCTTAACAAAAAAGCCATCAAAGCTCAATGGAACGCTGTCTACGTTAGAGACGAATGGCGCCTCCTTGATGTGTACTGGGCAACAACATGTGTGGAAATCAACAGCGGGGACACCCCTGGGGAAATTCAAATCAAGAAATACGCTAAGACAAAAGTGGACAAAAAGACCAAGTTAGAACACAGAGAGCCGGTGGACGAGTGTTACTTTTTCACTGAGCCGTATCACCTAATATGGACACATCTTCCGGATGACGAGAAATGGCAGCTTCTGCCACATCCAATTAAGGAATCGGAATTTGAAAAACTTGTGTATGTACGAGAGAGAATGCATGAACTTGAAGTGGACTTTCCTGCCAAAAAGAATAGGCGAGTAAACGTGTTTCTGAAACAAGGTATCGGACACATTGAGTTAGATCTTCCTCCCAAGCGGAGTAAGTTTCTGCGGTTTAAATTCGCGTTTTATCGATCTAAAGGATCGATGGATGACGACAAGGACATTGATGTTATGCTAAATAACTGTGTGAAGATGAATCAGACAGGTACAAACCTGTTCTTTGACTTTGACGTGCCAGTTTGTGGAACCTTCAACTTTGAAATCTATGGAAAAGATGCTAATCACAAGGAATTGCAAGAATTTGATCTAATGTGCACATACTGCATTCGAGCGCCTGTTCCGGAAAGGAAACCCCTTCCGCTTCCGGATAATCCGGAAATAGGTTGGGGTCCAAACATGAAGACTCTTAAAAGTGGAATAAAGCCAGTAACTCATAAAAGGTCCAAAATAATTACAGACGATGGCATTTTGGAGATAAAAATTCAAGCTCAAAAGGAGTCCAACTTGACGATGGAACTAAGGTCCGGAGTTGTTGATGATGCTGCAATTGTAAAGTACGCCATAATAAGGTGGGAAGACGGCCATTACATCATTAACACAAGACTTCCAAAAGCTGGACATTACATCATGAAAATAAACGCTCGCAACCCTAAAAAGGGAACTAGTGTTGAAAATGTATTAAATTACATTATAAAAAACAATGGTAAGGAGGAGATTGATAATCCCTACCCGCACATTGAGAACGGTGTCATAGGACCTACCGAGAGTGCGGAAAATCTTGGTGTTCGTGCTGTGTTCGCGGAAAACATTATAAGAGCGAAAAAAGGCAAAACAGTAGTAGAGATAGCGGCTGATGAAGAGACCAAAATCATGCACGAAGTAGACTGCACGAACGAAGAGGGAAGGAACACTATGGTGGCCAACGCATCACAGGAAGGTCAAATTCACACGTACGATTTGGATCTACCTGTTGCAGGAGAGTACTCACTCAATATTTACGAGAAACAACAATCTGGTGTCAATGTTCTGTATGCATTTTTAATTTTATCCACCGGAAAACCAAAGAAGCCCGTCGGAAACAAGTCTGACAGAACCAAATCGAGAGGTTCGTTGTCCAACAAATCAACAGTCATTGACCTGTCAGACGCGCCTGTTAGCAATAAATCAAACACAAATACACCACGACTGATCACCAAAACATTCCGTACTAAAGAAGTCGAGCTTTATGTACCTGCACCTGATGACACCGTCAATATTGTCGCCATTTTGACTCCAAAAGAAACACCAACGAACACGACAAACGTGGTTCCCCTTCGCAAAGATGGAAGTAATTGGTTCAACGTACCGCTTGCTTCCGTGGGTGAATATAAATTTGACGTCATGAAACAAAACTGTGACTCTTCCATCAGCTATATCGCCAAATATAAGATTCGTCGGCTGGACATTAACTCAGCAGAGGCCAACCAACCGGAACAGCCGGCCTTTGACCCGGATGCACACTTCAAGGCACGAAGTAAGTCAAAAAAAAGTGATGTACTATTTAAAAGACTGTTTCAAATAAAAAGCGATTTTCTTTTAGAAGCTTTAATTTTTGTGGCAACCTTGATATATTTTTATAGCGAAAAAGAAGGAAGAAGTTACCCAGAATCTGGAAGACGCCATCGAATCCCAAAGTGTTGGGAGGATCGAGAATGCGATGATTGTATATGCTGGTAACGTTAGTAACAACAGTCAGGACCGCCTACTGGAGAAAGCTGAGCAGACACTGAAGACACTATCTGTCAGAAAAGGTAGCCAAGGGAATGAACTACACAAGTGACCACTAACAATCTCTGTAGCACGTGGTTTAGTTGATGTGATATACCTGTCCAACTGTGTACTTTTTTCTTTAACAACTCTTTCATTGTTTGTGAATGTACATAGATTTAAAGCACAACACTGTATAATCCACTGTTCTCCTGTTAATATGATATAATAAGTCATTTTTCTCGTTGTTGTTTTTCAATAGGTGAAAAAATCATTATTTGCACTAAATCCATATTTGAAGCAGACTTTAACATTAACAAAGTATGTATTTTCTCTGTGTGACTGTTCCATAAGAACTCATCTTTGTAGAAATCATTATAAGACTTTATCAATAACTTTAAGAAATAGTTTAATCCAACTCTAATATACAATAAATCTATCACAAATTTTAATAAAATATGTAGCTTGTTGTATTGTTTTAAAGTTTGATTTAAATTTCTATAATTTATTTTGCTTTTTAGTTATCCTGTTTGTTTTGTCATGGTTTTCGTATATAGCTCACCTTTGCTCAAGACTGAAGTGAGCTTTCCTAATCTAAGTTCGTATATCCATCTATCTTTCAAATTATCTTTTTCCCTCCTAATTTATGATTTCTTCGAAACAAGTGAATCAAGTTAACCAAACTTGCCATATCGTATTCTTTTGCTAGGAGGTTTTAATTTTGTTCAGATGAAAGGCCATGTCCCTTATAAGGGGAGATAACAAAGCAAATGGAGAAATACGATGAGGGCATTTAAAAATCTCAAGAATCACACGTCTATAAAGGATTAGACTTGTTAAAAAGTTCCTGAGGAAGTGTAAAAATCATGGCCCTCACCGGTATTGGGTGTGGCCAGCAGACTTTTAGAATACTTGTACTCTTCTCAAGAAAGCAAGACCTGATTACAGACATTAATATCCAAACACCCTAAAGTTGTGCAGATTCAATGGCTATTTGGTGAAGAGTGAGAATAGAATATTTCGTAATAGTTTTAATTTAGAATGCCTTGGGCAGGAGAAAAACCTTTCAGAATCTCCTCCTCCTCGAGAACAGAGATTCTTTGATTTTCTAGTAAATATGCAAGGATCTCAGGTAGTGCAGATTAAAATTTGTTCATATCATGAGCCCCGGGGTAGGTAAGAACCATGATAAAAATTTAAGTTTTCCATTGAAAATATTTAACAATTGAAATGTTTCAAGAAAAGCAGAACTAAAATAAATATCCAAGCATCCTCGGGTAGCGCAGATGTAAAGTTCAATCATGGCTCTCGGAGGCAGGGTTTGACTATAATAAAGGATAGAAGTTTAACACAAGTTTTACATGGGAAAATAGAGGTAATGACGTTTATAAAAAAAATCCGAAATAGCAAGACCATAATATTCATATTGATATTGAAGCATCCCCATGCTTATAATATTTAAGTTCGGTTCAGTTATCTCCCCTTGGGACTAAAGTGGGTCAAACCTTTTCATATAAATAAAAAGCAACAAGCAAATTCAAAGAATTGTGGTCCCCCGCTTTCGGTGTCTTAGTGGATGGGATGCCATTATTTATGGCATATTGTAACTGTCTTGATTGTGTGTCCTGTCTTGTCTGTGCATTATACAAAAAAGATATAAATTATTGAATTAATAACAGTTATGGCAAAGACAGTAGCTTCACAAAACTACAAGATCAAAGTCATGAGGTCAAATATCATAATAAAATCCGAAAGGTCTTGTCATAAGTAATGCATATGTGAAAAAAAAAATATCAAAAGGCAGAGTATACAATAGGAATGGTCTTGAAACAGGTAATGCACATGTCAATTGTAAGTGCCATATCTTCTCCCAATCAAAAGTTATTAGCAATGTTAAACTTTTTGAAAAGTAGGTCAAACTTTAAGATCATGGGATTAAGAATCAAAGTACATTTGGAAATGCTTGTCACAGGTTATGCACGTGTCAAATAGGAACGCCCTATCTTTGCTCCTTCAAAAGTTAGCAACACTGATGAAATGTTTGAAAAATAGGTCAAACTTGAATGTCAAGGTCACGGGGCCAGATATCATAGCATATTCGGAAACATTTTGACACAGGAAATCCACTTGTCAAATATGAAAGGCATATCATATGTAATTCAAAAGTAATCACCAAAGTTAATTTTGTTGAAAATTAGGTCAAACACAAAGGTCAAGGGGTCAAAACTCATAGCATATTTAGAAACACCTTCTCACTGGCAATGCACATGTCAAATATGAAAGCCCTGTCTATTCTCAATCAAAAGTTATTAGCAAAGATAAAAATTTCGAAAAGTAGGTCAAACTCCAAGGTCACGGGGTCAAAAACCAAAGTACTTTTAGAAAGGTCTTGTCACAGGTAATACACATGAAAGCCATATCACTTCTCAATCCAAAGTTATAAGCGAAGATAAAATTTTTGAAAAGAAGGTCAAACTTAAAAGTCAAGGTCACGAGGTCAGAAATCATTGTATACTTGGAAAGGTCTTGTCACAGGTAAAATACATATGTAATATTAAAGCCCTATCTTTTCTCATTCAAAATTTATGACCAATTTAAAGTAATGTTAAAGTTTTTGAAAAGTAGGTCAAACTTCAAGGTCACGGGGTCAAAAATCATAGTATATTTGGAAAGGGCTTACCACAGCTAATGTACATGTAAAATATGAAAGCCCTATCTCTTCTCATTCAAAAGTTATGACCAAGGTTAAAGTTTTTTGTGACAGACAGACTGACAGACAGACGAATGAGATTTAATTTCCCCTCGCTTTTGCGAAATTGGGGGACAATAAATATCTTCTTTTAAAGAACAGCCATTGAATCAAATAAGCGATGTGACCCAGGGGCCTAGGGCCTCCTTTTTGTCTCAATTATTTTCTTAAGTCTTTTATTTTTCTGTAAGATTTGTTAAGTATAAATGTTAGATATTTATTACTACCAAGTCAGTGACTATATATGAAAATATACTACGGATTTGATCGTTTGGCTTCTTACATAACTACAGTGTGTTTCGTGTGATACGTTACCAACCAGACACAACCTTACACCAAAGCAGTCCCAGAGAAAGCAGTCCCAGAGAGAGCAGTCCCAGAGAAAGCGGTTCTTGTCCCTCGAACTACTAGGCACCTGATCCCACCTTTGGAATTTCCGGGGTCTGTTCCCTGTTCACAGATTTGTAAATGTGGATTTTCTTGAAATCGATCACGGTTATACATGTATTTACCTTTTTCATTCTAAAAATGTGGATGCTCTGGGAATGCTTGGGACTGCTCTGGGCCGCTGTGGGACTGCTCTAGAAAGCAAGCCTAGCAGTCCCGGGATTGCGTTTTGTAAGGTTGGGTCTGGTTGGTGCTGTATACCAATGCCACTTTGTAGATTTACTGGGTGCATACGAAAAAAGGCACATTCCCACACTTGAGCGCATGTTAAATAGAGCACGCGCCAACAACTTCAACAATATCCTGGATTCCGAGATTGTGCTGGCTAGCCGCCTGCTGGACAGACTAAACAACCTAAAGAGCCTGCGGAAGGAAGTGATGATGAAAGACTCAAAGGCTCTGACGGAACTGAAGCGTTACGCTAATCCCCCGGCGGGGGTCTATGAAGTGATGTCGTGTACGCTCCTACTGCTTGGACACCCACCATGGGAAATAGACGTAAGTGTAGACAACACATCAATGTAATATATCTGTGTCATATCAATAAATAATGCAAGTATTACTATTAATTAAATCAAATGCATGCCTCTTATTTTCAGACATGGGCAAAATGCAGAGCAATAATAAGCCGCACCGGAAAAGATTCTATAAAATTCAAAATGGCTGATTTTGACCCACGTGACGTGCCGCTAGATGTCGCACTTGATGGCAGAGACTTAATAGATCCATTCACTGAAAAACAGATTTATGACGTCAGTCCAACTGCCGCTGCATTCCATTATTGGGTAACACTCATTTAATAATACATTTTACTTATTCTGTAGAATTCATTAAAAGGGAGGTGATATCTCGCTAAATCTTATGATCAGAGACATAGTTGCTTATGTCCTGTCAAGACCAGTATTAAATTAACAAATTTGAGTTCGAACTATGGTCTAAACACAGATAATCCTATTTTCTCCCAAAATTCCAAGTATGTACTATTTCAAACTTTCATGGAGTCATATTGGCGAGATACCATTTGGAATCTTGTTCATGGTTATTTTGGATCACGTGCACAAAACATAATGATCAAATGACGTCATTTATAGGTGAAAGAGCAAATAACAGAAATAAGAAATTCTGCTGGTAGTCTAGGATACACAAATTACAGAAATATGACATTCTGCATATAGTCTAGGAATCAGGTCGGCCGCTCTGAGTGATTGTCAACTCTTTGCACTGCCATTGGAGGTCTTGTCACAGTTTGACGTCACATTTTCTGACATTTCAAAAACTGCGTCATATTTTTATTATGTACACTTAACACAAAAAGAGATTGTTCACATGGCAATACATGTATTTTATTTGTATCGTCTCTTTAGTCCAGACCTTAAAAAGCTCTTCACATTTTGCACGATTTCACTATTGTTTATGTAAATTTTCAAACATCTGCAAGTTTATTTGGCCGTTTCACGATTAATCTTCATCTTTGCATCTGAGGATTTAGAATTCTTTACAAATCAATAAACAAACCTTTAAAACCCAAAATATCTCTCATGAATGTATTTATTACAGGACACCCGTCAGCTAACGGAGGTAGAGACCACTGCTGTATCTTTAGGAGGAAAGAATTTCGCACCAGACGAGGTGCAGGAACTCGAGACTATAGCTGAGAGCGAGAATTCTGAATTAAACAGTACAGACGTGTTACCTCTGACAGAAGAAAACCTCAATCAGTTTGACAATACCTCCAAACAAAATGGCCACGTTCAATTCGACCAAAGCTCTTCTCCAAAAACAAACGGACATGGGCCGCCTCCAACCTCAAATAATATCAGCGACACACACTCACGTAAACCTAGCACAGCATCACGCCCCCTATCGGATAGAACTGTCGGATCTAATGGAAACTCTAGACCCTCTCCTCTCCCTCCTATCACCCCTCGAGGGACCTACACAAACGGGTCCCCAGCATTAACGAACCCTGCCTCGTTGACACCCCGAGGGCGAAAAATATTCAACTACAGAACCTCCAGGAAGAGTGGCTTCGTAAATCTGAGAAAACTCGGAATTATTCCTGACTGGAAAGGTTGAGGACAAGGGAGGGAACACTGTATATACATTATCATTAATTTATTGAATCACATTGATTTATAAAATAATCTTAATGTTACATTAATTTCTCTATATGCTCGAAATATACATGTATATTTATACCATACGATTTCTACTGTATCATTGAACACTCAAGGATAATACGTTTTACATATACTTTGTATATACTTTGATAAAAATTTGAAAGTTTATGAATGTCATTAATACTTATAAGTGTCATTTGAGAGCGCTATAAATCTCATTCAATTTGAGAACAAAATTATTTTAATAGTGATCCAGGTCTATGCGTACAAAACTGTCCTGTGTTTGTGTTTTTCTGATTGTCAGTTTTACAGAAGGTAATCATGCGACCGCAAAATTATAGATTAAAAGTTTTCTCAAGCAGAAGCAGGATGAAGGTTACTATTTTGAGCATTGTGGCCCATGGGCCCACAGTATGTTAAACAAGAAATTAAAAATGCCTTAACACTCTAGAATAGGAATCGATCCAAACGGTAAATGGTCGGTTATCTTCAGTGGGACCAACACTTTAACCACAACAGAAATTAATAAATGTAGCTTATAACAATAAATGGAGCTTATAACAAGAAATGGAGCTTATAACAATAAATGTAGCTTATAACAATAAATGGAGCTTATAACATGGAGCTTATAACAGTAAATGGAGCTTATAACAATAAATGGAGCTTATAACAATAAATGGAGCTTATAACAATAAATTGCATTTAAATTTTGTTTTCGAAATACCTTCGATCAACTGGATCATACATATATGTAGTTTTTGAAAAACAATAGATGAAGATAACGCATTCAAAAAAATCTACAAACAATACAAATTTGTGAACTGGGCATAAAACGCAGACTTCCCTGGAAACTCCAGAAGTGGGATCAGGTGCCCCTGTCGACCGGTGAAACCCACTGTTAGCTCTATGTTCTGACAGGGCTCGACAGTAACTTTTTTCCCTACTTGTCCATTCGGACAAGTGACCAAGACATTTACTTGTCCGAACTTTAACTTCACTTGTCCGAAAAATTTTCAATAAAGATCTAATACTGTTAACTGAAAAACTAAAAATAAAGTCCATTACACGTGCATGATGCTATTTATAAATACAACAAACACATGAAACAAAATTTTATCTAGACTTTCTGTCCTGACAACATAAATGCTGTCAACATAAAACAGAATCCAAACTTCGTCAGTTCCATGCCTTTGCAGTAGTATGCAATTAGTGAACTTCGATCCCGATCAAGTGTACACAATTACATAGCAATCTATATCGGGATCGAAGTTCGTTTTTTATGTACTGTTTCCATCTTAAAGTACCTGTAAATTTTCAACAGTCGTTCTTTCAAATATTTAGAGACTTACAGAAAAATGCACTTGTCCAATCGGACAAGTGCCCAGCAATATTCACTTGTCCGTATTTTTTTTTCACTGGTACCGGACAAGCGGACAAGATTAATGACGAGCCCTGTTCTGAACAGGAAGAGGGAGTAATCCTTAGTGAAATTTAGTATAAAAACAAAGGCCTAACAATTAACAAGTCAGCCAAAATACCACAAAATGTTATAAAAACAAAGGCCTAACAATTAACAAGTCAGTCAAAATACGACAAAATGTTATAAAAACAAAGGCCTAACAATTAACAAGTCAGCCAAAATACGACCAAATGTTATAAAAACAAAGGCCTAACAATTATCAAGTCAGCCAAAATACGACCAAATGTTATAAAAACAAAGGCTTAACAATTATCAAGTCAGCCAAAATACGACCAAATGTTATAAAAACAAAGGCCTAACAATTAACAAGTCAGCCAAAATACGACCAAATGTTATAAAAACAAAGGCCTAACAATTATCAAGTCAGCCAAAATACGACAAAATGTTATAAAAACAAAGGCCTAACAATTAACAAGTCAGCCAAAATACCACAAAATGTTATAAAAACAAAGGCCTAACAATTAACAAGTCAGTCAAAATACGACCAAATGTTATAAAAACAAAGGCCTAACAATTAACAAGTCAGCCAAAATACGACCAAATGTTATAAAAACAAAGGCTTAACAATTATCAAGTCAGCCAAAATACGACCAAATGTTATAAAAACAAAGGCTTAACAATTAACAAGTCAGCCAAAATACCACAAAATGTTATAAAAAAAAAAAAAGGCCTAACAATTAACAAGTCAGCCAAAATACCACAAAATGTTATAAAAACAAAGGCCTAACAATTAACAAGTCAGCCAAAATACCACAAAATGTTATAAAAACAAAGGCCTAACAATTAACAAGTCAGTCAAAATACGACAAAATGTTATAAAAACAAAGGCCTAACAATTAACAAGTCAGCCAAAATACGACAAAATGTTATAAAAACAAAGGCCTAACAATCATCAAGTCAGCCAAAATACGACCAAATGTTATAAAAACAAAGGCCTAACAATTATCAAGTCAGCCAAAATACGACCAAATGTTATAAAAACAAAGGCCTAACAATTAACAAGTCAGCCAAAATACGACCAAATGTTATAAAAACAAAGGCCTAACAATTAACAAGTCAGTCAAAATACGACAAAATGTTATAAAAACAAAGGCCTAACAATTATCAAGTCAGCCAAAATACGACAAAATGTTATAAAAACAAAGGCCTAACAATTAACAAGTCAGCCAAAATACCACAAAATGTTATAAAAACAAAGGCCTAACAATTAACAAGTCAGTCAAAATACGACAAAATGTTATAAAAACAAAGGCTTAACAATTAACAAGTCAGCCAAAATACGACCAAATGTTATAAAAACAAAGGCCTAACAATTAACAAGTCAGTGAAAATACGACCAAATGTTATAGAAACAAAGGCCTAACAATTAACAAGTCAGCCAAAATACCACAAAATGTTATAAAAACAAAGGCCTAACAATTAACAAGTCAGCCAAAATACCACAAAATGTTATAAAAACAAAGGCCTAACAATTAACAAGTCAGCCAAAATACGACAAAATGTTATAAAAACAAAGGCCTAACAATTAACAAGTCAGCCAAAATACCACAAAATGTTATAAAAACAAAGGCCTAACAATCGGTGAAACAAGTCAGCCAAAATACAACAAAATGTTAGTTTGTATTTGCTAATAAGATACTAAGAGCATGCTCTTTGCGTATCGAATACATTGGGAGCCATATGCATGCAAGCGATAGTGGAATTTATTTTTCTAAACAGCCCGAAGCGTGGAATAGTTTTTTGTGCTATTTGCCCATGGTGAAATAGTCATGGAACTATTCACCAGCAGCATTCCATTTCCCCCGCATTTCATCTCGGAACTCTTCTGGTTTTAACAGGATCGTGACGTTACGCAAGTAAAGTCTGCTTCGGAATAATAAAACACCTATTTACTGTCTATTCGGATAATAGCAAGTTTATTGTCCCCCTCGACAGCAACTATTTCTGGGGATGCTTGTTGCTGTCTTGGGGGACAATAAATTTGCTTTTGTCCTCATAGCCAGTAAATAGGTGTATAATAACAGTTAATAAGAAAAGTTGACGATGGAAAAGCTGAAGTCATCTCGTTTAGTTTGCCCTTATCGTCTACAGTCTAATCGGCAATCCTCGGCTTACTCCGCTACGCTCCATACAAAGTAAGTGTGCGAGGCATAAACCACCCGAGGAGCTCCGAGTGTCTCCAGTCAGTAAAAAATCCAAATATGAAACAGATAGATAAATCAACTTTTTGTCATAAAATTGTGCTTTTAATATATAGCCGGTTATATTATCCATATTTTTTTTATTTAAGGAATAACTGTTTAATTTTTTGGTTTCATGATGTGATCAATCGATTGGCTTACGTGATAATTTGCATAAACGCAAAAGGCGTCATGAATCCAAAAAATCTGACAGTTATTCCTTATATTTACATGCTCTTGATTCTGCAAATTCACGTGCTACAGGCCCCGCTTCTGTCTCTATTTGTCCCGCCCCGCACGTGATTTTTTTCACCACGCCTATCGATGAACCAGTAGATTTATGTAGAAATAAAGTATTTTTACTATTTGAAATTTTATCTCGGACAAAGACATTGGAAATGTAAATATTGTGGATTCAAATTCTTTCACACTGTATTTAACACTGTAATTTCCGTGATGAATACTCGATTTTCTACAGGGTATTTAAAAGAAACACTGAGACCTTATATGTTTTACTGCCGAATGCTTGTTCTAACTTACAACCTTTGAATGACTAGACACCTCTTGTATTAATTTAATAATGCTCGTTCATTGACCAGGAACAATAATTTTAAAAATTATCATTTATTCAAATACCCCAAATTTCACGCTTCTTATTTCCAAGGTACTTCGAAGTCTTTGAAACGATCTTTAAAGGTTGAAATCTGCACTCTTTTTACATGGTCAAAAAATTGACATTTGCAGGGAAATCAAATTTCCTTTACCCGATAATTTTCCCCTCATATACCAATGCTTATTAGCATAAAATGAAATTCGAAGTGGTATATGATATTTTGAAATGGTACCACATTCTATTTACACAACATATGAAATAGGAATTGACACTAGCGGCAGAAATGTAACATCACATATGTATCAAGCGGCAGAAATGTAACATCACATATGTATCAAATACATGGCTTTCTTCAGATGCTTGAATAAGCTTTTTTTTTTTTTTTTTTTTTTTTTAGGTTGTTGTTGTTGTTTTTTTTTTTTTTTTTTTGGTTTTATTCAAACATGTGCGATGTATTTGTTCATCACTTTTCAACTACAATATGCATAATCGATGCTTTTATTCATATCTTCTTCCATTTGTAATTTCCCCTATGAGACATGATTTACGATGAACTTTGAAAAAAAATTGCATGAGTAGAAACACATTACTCAATCGTTACGAATGACACATTACTGTCATTTTTAGTTACTTATCTGTTGATCATACCCTGAGGGATGGACTACCTTAATTTACTATTACATTCGCGAGGGTGCTGTTTTGAAATGTAAAAGTGTGATAAAGAAGTTGATTCTCATATTCCCATTACTTAAGCATATGTTTTATGGACACACAAGGAGACATCTAAGAAATCTAAAATTTTCGGAATTTAAAATAAAGTGCTGCTAACAATGCCTATTTCAAATAAATAAATTGTTGAGGTTAAAGTGTAAATACATGAAGTAAGAGTTCTACCATTGATGAAAAAAAGGAGTTACTATGTGGTGACATTTTTACTCGGTTCGTCGGAATGGGTATGATAAGTACATGTATTAGATAAAAATAATAAAGTTTACATAATTGATCAATTAATTCTTTTATGAAAAAATACAAAAAATCAAAATGAGTAGTCAAAAATAAATCGAAAGCTAAAATGAATACAAGAAACACTCACACAGGGAGAGAGAGAGAAAGCAAAAAAACTCCCGTCTCTCGCGAGTGCAAAGACGTACACAATTAGCGTAACATATGTAAATATTTATTCTACGATGTTTTAAAAATTCACAGATCACTCATTATCAGTGGGAAAATCAGTGTTGAAATGCCAGGCTAATTCCTAGTCATTGATAACGTCCATCTTTCGCATCAAGTCGGCACGGTGTTTTCTTCTCCCTTCACTCAAACGTATCAAATGTCCGCGCTTTCGGAACAAGCAGCAGACGATTTCAGCTCTGTGTTTGGCAATGTATGTTTCCTCATGGACCTGGAACATATTCTATTTGTGTGTAGTCTTTCCCTGTTTTTATAATGTGTCCATTTCTCTGAACGACGATGACAGCGATGATATAAGCAATGAATCAGTTTATATTCGGACAGAAGAAGAAATCGCTTCCAAGAGTAAGGTGGACTCTCTAGGTCCAGTCTTAAAGCGTCATATCCAGGCTCTACGCCAAGTCAGCAACAAAAAAGTGGACATTGTATTTCTAGTGGACAGCTCCGCCAGTGTGGGACCACGGGACTTTAATTATGAAATTAAATTCGTCCGGAAGCTGCTGGCAGACTTCACGGTCGATACTAACCATACAAGAGTTTGTGTGATCACGTTTTCCTCCAAAAAGCGCGTGCTTCGGCAGATTGATTATGTAGGTCAGCCTTTAGTAGATAAGAACAAGTGCACTCTGTTAGAGGAGGATGTTCCTAGCATCCGATACGTGGGGGGAGGGACCTACACCCTGGGTGCATTCCTAGAAGCCAAGGTAAACATACCTGTAGCTGTAGCCATTAGCTAGCCATTAGTCCGATAATATTATGGTACCATAATTTTTATCATGCTTTAAGGTATTCGATATATAATAATCAATATTTGCTATTTTCATTATAGTCATTATAATCAATAATTGCTATTTTCAGTATATCATGACTTTAAATAATCAAATAATTAATTTGCTTGTAAAAGTAGGTAAAAAGATAAAATGAACAATAAACATGAATTAAATCAAAGGTATACAGAGTCCTTTAATTCAAAAAATTAATTTCTGCAAAATTTGCAAGGTGACCTATGCAAAACAGTAAAGAAAGTTTTAAAGATCTCAAGAGCATTTTTTTTTTTCAAATATTCATTTCTTTTTTTTTTTTTTAAAAATCTATGAAAAATATACTAAAACTTTGCCCATAGGCTTCTATTTTAAATTAATAAGAATACATCTATTTTGAGTTAATATTGAAAGAAAATTCTAGGTAAACTTACTTTGATCTATGGAATATTTACACATTTCCCTTTATTTGACCTTTTGTTAAGAATTTTTTCTTTATGCATTGGATTCCTTAAAAACTAAATTGAGTGATCAGTTAGATTCCTTAATAATAAACAAAAGATGTCTACATATAAAAAAAATACACAAAATGTTAAAACTAACTTATTTATTACAAACAAAATCCAATCCTAAAATTTATGCTAGCTATGAATGAAATGAAAATTTTCTCTGTGGCACATCTTTTAACAAAAAATATGTTTTAGTGTACAGATTACATTTTTTCTTGGAATTCCAAATGCGTAAATTACATTATTTACCCAAAAGATTACATCTAACTTTCTCATGAAAGTAAGAATAAACAGAAGTTGACTACGTGCAAAATAGCTTCCTAAGCGCATGTGCCTTGAATTGAATTACGTTAATTTTTTTCTGAAAATTTAAATTAAAAAAATGATTGAAATGTTGTAGTTACACATTACGTTGATATAATCTTAAATGGAAGACAGTGAGAGATGCGTGTCGTGTGAATTATTGGGATTGACTGAATTTTTTTTTAATAGCTATTTCATTATGTCGATATATTTATTAATTTATACTTCACATCTGTAGAAGGTACTAAGTACGTCGAGGTCAAACTCAGAAAAAGCCATTTTCTTGGTGACAGACGGATTTTCTAATGGAGGCGACCCTAGACCGGAAGCCAAATATCTTCGCGACAAAGGTGTCAAAATATTCACATTTGGCATCCGGAATGGAAACGTCCGGGAACTGGTCGACATGGCATCTGAGCCCAAAAATGAGACTTCTTATATTCTGGACAGCTTTGAGGAGTTTGAAGCTTTAGCACGACGTGCCCTGCATGAAGGCAAGTGGAATTAAGAATCCACATAACTGCTTTCAAACAATTACTTAGTGCATGTATTAACTGATTTGTTATATCAAATAACTGTGCTATGAATAAATATCTATTGTAAAATTTACCTCTAACAGATTTAGGTGCTGGATCCTATGTAGCGCAGCCCATAGACAAATGTCACCATCTTTGTATCGATAGATCGCCATGCTGTGACCAGAGAGCAACATGTCGCTGCGGTACACATACGGGTAACTTTGAGTGCGTCTGCCGGGAAGGCTTCTATGGAACAGGACTCTACGGAGAATGTTATCGTATGCTTTACGTTACTTTACCTGTTTACGTTTATAATCACAAATATAGTATTCCAAATGTATGCTTGTTTACATGAGTCTAAGATCATGATGATCATATAACGTCGTATAATTAAGTCACAGCAAAGTGACCCTTAACTGGAAATATTTATATCAGTTTGGAAAATTTAACTGATTTTATCTTCTAAACATGTGTTTCAAAGGATAATTTATTACAGAGAAATGTAGGTTATATGGAGCTCGATTATCAAATATGGTTTAATAATTCAACAAAAGTAATGGGTTAAAATCCTATTTTAAACACTGCAGCCTGTCCTTCTGGTACTTACAAAGACGAACGTAAACTGGGCGACGAATCCACGTGTAAGAAATGCCCGGATGAGAACCAGTCAACACAGACCGGGGCTACTCATGTAAGTCAATGCTCCTGTAAGAAGGGCTTCCGGACCTTTAATGGGACAGGGTGCTCAGGTGAGTGTGGCATTACCATTAAACAGTTTATATGATTTATGATGGGAATTTATTGTTTAAGGATTCCAGACTTCAAGTTAAAAAAATTACTACCGCAGAAAGAGTGAGAAATAGGAATTTTTGAAATATTAAAAAAAAAAAGTGTTCTCAACTTTATACAGTCCTGCGCTGTCCTGAGTTAAAGAGACCTAAGAACGGCTACTTCGTCAATGATTACTGCGACAGTGTATTTAATGCGGCTTGTGGCATCAAGTGTAAACCTGGGTACGAGCTCCGGGGAAACAGTCTCAGGATTTGTCAGGAAGACGGCCACTGGTCTGGGGAGACCGCAGAGTGCGTCAGTAAGACAGACAAATTTTAGAATGCGCATACATGCAAATTCACACTTCTCATTCCATATTCTTTTACATGTATAAGGTTCAATTTCAAGAAAATGTTTGAGTATGACTTTAATATTCTCCAAGCACATGAATCTATTGGTTCAGAATAATTATTTTCCATACACATGAATCAGTACGAAAAAAATGATTTAAAATACTAAATGACTACAATATTAAGTTACATACTGTATCTGTATTCCAGTGAAAACGTGCCCTCCTCTACCCAAACCAAAACATGGGAATATGATATGTGACCACGATGATTTCTCGTTCTCCACGGTGTGTCGGTTTACATGCGATACAGGATATAAACTGGTGGGCTCCAGGAAGCGAGAGTGTCTAGCCATAGCGTACTGGACAGGGATCCCTACGCGCTGTAAAGGTACGGGGTCGGTGTAGTTTTGATTATTGACCTCACTGATTCCTTTGTTAACATCATGCAAATGTAACCATTTACGCGCACATGACGTGACGGACTAATTTGATTCTTTGCACTGCCAGCTTCATGTAAAATTATTTGCTATGTACAAAGAAGATTCTTTTGAATTCTATTAAATTGTACACTGATTTTCCCGTTTTACCGATCATGATAAGGAGCACACGGCGGGTGTGACCGGTCGGCAGGGGATGCTTACTCCTCCATGGCACCTGATCCAACATCTGTTTTTAGAGGTCCTAAATTGTTTGCTCTGCTCCTGATTTGTATTTTTTTTCTATGGACTTTTGAGCTTGATTACTGTTCGTTATCTCCATATTTGATTTTAATACATTTACATGTATATTTGAGATGCAAATATTTAATAATACACTTACATGGTATATAAACGTACGTTTTTTCTCTCTTTTTATTCACTTGCAAAGCGGAAGTACTCCTTCTCTTTACAATTAGTTTGTTCAATGGAATTTCGAGTAAATTAATTCGTACTTTATTTTTTAATGTCTGTCAAAAAGGATACCAGCGTATTTTCATCTTAAATCATTTGTACATACACTAATAAAAGTAGGTAGTCTGTATTACAATCAACTTTATAAGAACGGCACAATTAAGTTCAAATTCCCTCATTATTGATAGGAAAAGTTTTTCTTATTAAAGAGATCACATGTCAGCCCCTGCCTCAGGTACGGGAAGGAGTGGTGAAGCCTCTGGACTGCACTGCGAATGAAGTGTCATTCGGAACCATATGTCAGGTGGAGTGTGCTCCCGGATACTCTCTGGAGGGACCGGAGAGAAAGCAATGTACACCGGAAGGAATGTGGGCCCCTGAATCCTTTGGCGAGATGAGTCGCTGTGAAGGTATTATGATACTATGGTAGTTCAGTAACCATTGTACATTCACAATTATAGACGGAAATTATTGAATCTGTTCTCTGTATGTTTTTTTTCATTGTCACTGTGTTTGAGACAGAAACTACACGTTAGTCTCTATATATTAAAAACACTCAGTTGTAACTTTTAAACGACTTCACTATAGAGTTTATTAATTGGCTCTAACCGTGAAATAACTGCCTCATGAACTCAACTCACTTTAATTCCTAATTATTCTTCAGACAAGTCCCCGCCCAATTTGTTTTGTCCTGCTGATATCCAGCAAATAGCACCAGATGACGACAATACTGTAGAAATCATGTGGCAGCCCCCGCTAGCGCTGGATAATTCCGGATTGATCCCGATCCTAACAGTGGTTCCCGCCGTGGAACCACCTAAACGTTTCCCTATTGGTGTGACGTACGTGAAGTATATTGCGGAAGATCTGAGTGGGAATAGAGAAAAGTGCAGGTTCTCGGTCGTTATCAGGGGTACAGGACTTTATTATTTTCAAATTAATTCTGATTTATCGGTTCTTCTTAATTTAGGCAAAGAAAAAAAAGGCAAGAAAATTTTAAATGTCTTTTTTTTTCTGCAGATGTAACACCGCCAAGGGTTGATAGCTGTTTTTCACCAAATCCATTTGTGTCATCCACGTTTTATGCGGAGGTAATCTGGGATGAACCTCAGTTTAGCGATAACTCTGGAGAGACCCCGAGAGTGGAAAGGACACATGCACCTGGATTGTTTCCTCGGGGTCTTACCATAGTCACATACCGAGCATTTGATGAAAGTGGCAATAATAACACGTGTGAACTAGAAATACAAGTTATACGTAAGACACGCTTAATTAACCAAACCTGAAAAAGTAAATGAGGCAAATTACCTGTCATTGCAATATAATGAAATTATTCCAACAATCACATCCTCTTAACTTACTAGTATTTTGAAATTTCAGCACACCCCTGTCAATATCCCCCTGAGCCAGTTAACGGAGAGCGACACTGCTATGAGACCACGGAGGGGGTGTATTGTAATGTCACATGTAATGAGGGGTTCGCTTTTGCTATCAATCCTGCTGACGTTTACTTCTGTGCTTATGACAATATATGGACTCCCATAGAGAAAATGCCCATCCCAGACTGCTCAGGTGAAAAGTACAAATTTTCTGTTTCGAATCCGTTGTGATATAAAAATACGTAGATATATCTTATACAAGAGGATTGTTTTATTGCAGTACAAACGGTGACTAACAGTATAGAGCTACCCGCTTCTGTAACCTATATTTCTAACGTCCCATGCCGAGATCATCTGGTTCTGAATCAGATGCAAAATAACTTCTTCATCACACTCTCTGGCTTCGTAAGTAATCAGAAAATGGTGTGATATTTCATGTTTCCCTACCTATCGAATTCAAAATATACTTGATAATAAATGACTTATTCCTTCATTGTGTATCACCCTTTTTAATGTTAATAATGTTTTATTTTATTATTGTCCTCAGATAAATGGTTTGTGTGATGAGAACATGATCTGCGAGGTGGATGACGTAGATGCGACATGTGAAGAAGAAGTGGAAGGTCAAGGCTGTTTATAATTTTATACTCTTCAGTACAAGATGTTGTTGGGTTAGACAGGCATAATTCACATTAATTTGGATTTTCATTTTAGATTTTAACAGAATTAAGATCATCCTTGATAGAAAGCGTCGAGATATTGTCCGAATTATCTCCAAAGAATCCGGAAAAGATGCTAAGATATCTGATAGAGAGGTGGAGAGCTCTATCACGTTTGATTTCCTGGTCAGAGGTAAGGTTAAATGTCAGATATAAGATTAAATGTCAGATATTAGATTAAATGTCAGATATAAGGTTAAATGTCAGATATAAGGTTAAATGTCAGAGGTAAGGTTAAATGTCAAAGTTAAGGTCAAATATCAGATATAAAGTTACATGTCAGAAATAAGGTTAAATGTCAGATGTAAGGTTAAATGTCAGAGGTAAGGTTAAATGGCAGAGTTAAGGTTAAATGTCAGAGGTAAGGTTAAATGTCAGATGTGAGTTAAACGGCAGAGGTAAGGTTTAATAACAGGCATAAGGTTAAATGTCAGACATAAGGTTAAATGTCAGAGGTAAGGTTAAATGTTTTATATCAGAGATTAAGTTAAATGTCAGATGTAAGTTAAAAGTCAAAGGTAAGGTTAAATGTCAGATATAAGGTTTAATAACAATAAGGTTAAATGTCAGATGTGAGTTAAATGGCAGAGATAAGTTTAAATATGTACTTCTAAAATCATTGCATACTGACTTACTTAAGTTACGCAAATATCAATACACCTATGTGTCGAAATTAAGATTTTTTCTTGAACTTGATTTCCTTGGTAGCAATTTCTATATGTTTTTTTTTTCTAAAATCATCCAAAATAGTATGTGTTATGTGTAGGCCAATACCGAAGTCCGGTGAACCCCGGGAAAACCGTTAAAGAAAGCCAGAAGGTGGTGACGGAACGACTTAAGGGGGTTCTGACTACGGTGAAGACTGAAGGTAGTGGGGGGATGCTGGACTTGACAGTGGGAGGCACTAAGGCTAAGTTCGCTAATCTGACGGTCAGTAGAACAGGTCCGCAGTACAAATGTAAGGAGGGCGGCGTGCTAGTCAACACTTCATGTGGTAAGTTATGCATGTACACTGTCTTGTCTTTAAAAATTTGACTTGATAGAAAAATACAGAATTTTAATTATGTTTTAGGTTTAATGCAATTGCTTATTTTATGACAAATGATATTCATCATAGAATACCAACAGTTTTATAAACGTTATGGATATTTTTTTCTTTGATATGAAATACTGTACATGAATTTGAACAGCAATTCATCATTATGCTAAATCTATTATGTCATAGTGAAATGCCCCGTGGGGACGTTCTTTAATGTGGTTTTGGAGTCTTGTTCCGGGTGCCCTGTAGGGACGTACCAGCCGCTAGAGGGCAGTGTGTCGTGTCTGGTGTGTCCTGTCAACACAACCACCGACCACAACAACTCTAAATCTCAGGAAGAATGCAAAGGTACACAATAGCTAAAACACTAATGAAGAATTATGAAAACATAGGTATGTTACTGTCCTAGAACATTAATTAAAACCCTTGGTTCGTTCAACTTTAATTAGCTCAGTGTTTACCCGGAACCTACTCCAAAGACGGTCTGGAGCGATGCGCCACCTGTGAGATAGGGTTTTATCAGACTGATTACGGACAGACCTCGTGTAGAAAATGTCCACCGGGGACCACAACAAAACGCCGTGGAGCAAGGATCATAGAGAAATGTGAAGGTACAAAGCCTTTCATATCAGATGATCACCATAGGCACAAAATACCAAATTAAAATAAGCTGATTAAACAGATGTCTGAATTAAGTTACTGACTTTGGACCTAACTGATGTTATTTTTAGAACCCTGTGAGCCTGGATTTGTGTCCTCTTCTGGTCTTAAGCCATGTTTCCCGTGCCCTAAGGGAACCTACCAGTCAGATACGGGTCAGACTGCTTGTTTTGAGTGTCCAGGGAAAACGCTGACGCAATCCATAGCTTCCACTGAAGTTACTGACTGCAGTGGTATGTTACATCTTTTAAAATAATAATAGTTCACGCTTTTACTGAGAGGGGGTGCAGGGGGACTACCCCCTCCTTTTTTTCTGAACGATAAAGGATACTGTGTTAAAATTTGACAAGAATAAAAACAAGAGGCCCAAGGGCCTTAATGGTCACCCGAGTATAATACAACAATTTAGAGGATCCATAGAGTATAAAATGAACTGAAAGGTGAAGCTTTGTTGCCCAAAAGCAAGAAAAATAGGGTGATCAGGATCAACAAAATAATTAGTCTAGTTTTCATTAACAGTTCATAAATTAGGTTCTAATCTGTTCCCCATTTATCACTATCACCATACAGTATATTAACAAACTATCAGTGATTCTGTACTATTTTAATTCCTTGATGAAATCTCTTACATTGGACTCTTTTGGTCTTTGATGAACATTGAATTAGACAAGTTATTTTTGTCTCATTTTTTATTTATCTATTACTTACAAGTCTACCTAATCATTTAAACTATATAAAAGTACTTTATGTATTATACAATAAAAAATCTTGCATAATTCTCCTATTCTATTAACCTTTCAAGTACATTATTTACAGTGATTAATTATCAAAAGTAAATGGCAAAGGGGAATAACTCCTCTCAGTTGAATACAAATGAATAGAGCCCTGGCCAGGACCAGAACACTTGACCAAATGGTCCAGATGTTCAAAAATCTTTATTAAAACTTTTACTCTTTTTGCCTCTGATATGACCAGGTGCAGAGAAGATTTTCCAAAAAAATAATGCATTTTTACTACAGATTCACTATATTATCAATAGAGCCCCCCTCCCCCTAGCACCAGAATCCCTGACCTTGGGGCCATGACTTTCACAATTTTGGTAGAGTAACCCTTACTTATCATAACTATGTATTCAATTTGTTTCAATAATACCCAGGAGTAGAGAAGAAGATTTTCAAAGAAATAATGCACTTTCAATATATGATCTATATAGCCCCGCCCTAGCACCAGAACACCTGACCCTGGGGCCATGAATTTCACAATTTTGGTAGAGTCACCCTTGGTTATCATAACTATGTATTCAATTTGTTTCAATAATACCCAGGAGTAGAGAAGAAGATTTTTCAAAGAAATAATGCACTTTCACTATATAATCTATATAGCCCCGTCCTAACACCAGAACGCCCGACCCTGGGGCCATGAATTTCACAATTTTGGTAGAGTCTCCCTTGCTTATCATAACTATGTATTCAATTTGTTTCAATTATACCCAGGAGTAGAGAAGAAGATTTTTCATATATATCATGCACTTTCACTATATGATCTAGGAAAAAGTATCCTTGTGCACCATTACTATGCACTTAGTTTGTTTAAATAATACCCAGGAGCAGAGAAGAAGATTTTCAAAGAATTAATGCATTTTCACTATATAATCAATAGAGCCCCGCCCTACCATCAGAACCCCTGACCCAGGGACCATGAAATTCTCAATTTTGGAAAAGGCATCAATGCTTATTATAAACATGCACTTAGTTTGTTTATATAATATCCAGGAGCAGAGAAGAAGATTTTCAAAGAATTAATGCATTTTCACTGTATAATCAATAGAGCCCTGCCCTACCACCAGAACCCCTGACCCAGGGGCCATGAATTTCACAATTTTGGAAAAGGCATCATTGCTTGTCATAACCATGCACTTAGTTTGTTTAAATAATACCCTGGAGAAGAGAAGAAGATTTTCAAAGAAATAATGCACTTTCACTATATGATCTATATAGCCCCACCCTAGCACCAGAACCCCTGACCCTGGGGCCATGAATTTCACAATTTAGGTAGAAGGCCCAATGCTTATTACAATCATGTAAACAGTTTGACTGCTTGATGTCCAGGAGTAAAGAAGAAGATTTTTAAAGATTGCATCAATTTTGGTGGTTTTAGCCCCACCCCTTGGGACCCAGGGGGGCAGGGACCATGAAATTCACAATTTTTGTTCCCCTTTACCCAAAGATGCTATATGCCAAAATTGGTTGAAATTGGTTGAGCGGTTCTAGAGAAGAAGTTGAAAATGTTCAAAAGTTAATGCACAACGGACGACGACAGACAAAAACGGATAGCAATAGGTCACCTGAGGACGACAGACAAAAACGGATAGCAATAGGTCACCTGAGTGACTCAGGTGACCTAAAAAGTCTTTCTACAAGTAATTTAATGAAAAATTAGGTACACGGCTACAGGCATAATAAGTGTTAAAGCACTGTTCAAGAAAAATAAGAAGTTTAAGGAATACAAAAAAAGTATAAAACCCTTATTTGCAGTTGCTTAGTAAGACTGTATTTCTTTACTACTAAAACATTGATGTGACCACATGCCGTTGTTCTTGCAGTCTAAAAGTTTACCTGTAGCAGTCCGATAATAATAACTGCCATTCCAATATTAGCGTACATGTACTCTAGCGATAACAAAATCAGACGGTTATTAAAAGCAAATTAAATTGTTAAGTGAAATTAAAAATTTAATATTTCAAATTGTAAAAGTGTCCGATTTAGATACAGTCACACTGTTGGATGATACTATCACCGTGGAATTTGGAAATGGGTGTTTTTATTTGAATTTTCAATTGGCTGATATAATAAAAATCTAGGTCTTTGAAAGTTCAGTCGTGGAGAACAAACCAAGTTATTTGAAAAGATTTGTCAATTCCTTTTGTTTACTAATTAGATGGTTTCAGGTTAGTAAATTATCGATGCATGATTTCCTATCCTGTAAAAATCTTATTGTTCCATGTAAGGCTGGTAAACACGGTAAGATCTGCATTATAATACAGGAATTATAATACATAATCTTACCTGTGTACACACTGATACAGTGTATCAAGAGATTTTTCGAATCTTATAAAATGTATTAAGAATAGATCATTGAATGTTCTATTTCGTAATACAAGTCTTAGCTGATCTTTTATTTTCAACCAACCAGATAACACATACATTAGGGTCATGTATTAGTATCCAAATTTGCATTACATTACTGTTGTTAAAAATGTGCAGATGATATTAAATTTATCCTTAAAAGTCTGCATACAGATTTCAGAATCGCAAATTATTTCATAATAAATCATAAATTCCATCTTTTTGTTTCAGCAACTCAGATCAGTACAAAAATGATAACTTTTCGCTGCTGTTATGGTATAGAGAACTGTAAACGATAAAGAGTGTGGTTAGGCCCTCCTGACATTGTTTGGAGGGGAAAAAAACACGTTAAAATATCTACGTCTACTTTCAATCTTACAAGATATATTTTAGAGTGTGTACAGGAGAATGCCATAATAAAAAAGTATTATAATACTTCTAGTATACATGTAATATAAATCCTGTGTACCGGTCTTAAATGGCAAAGCTTTAAGTATGATATATGCCTCATGTGCCCTAATGGGCCTAAACGGTCTAATTATTTTGCATATAGAATTGTGAGGCATATGTACAGGACATATACAAAATTATTCTTTTTTCTGTATGTTCAGGTTCACAGAATCCCAGCAGTAATCGTCTCCAGGCAGATGAGCCGGCGGACGTTGTTGTGTTCAATGCTTGTTTTGAGAACCCTTGTCATAATGGATCCACATGTCGAGCTCGACCTTTTGGGTATACATGTGACTGTGCCCCAGGGTACAAAGGTAGATTAAAAACACAACAAAGATTACCTCTACTGTATCGAATCCTGATTGAAAATTTGTTTTGAAATCATAAGAAAGAAAAAAAATGGAGCAGATTTAAAACAAAACATCTTGATGGTATTCGAATGATAACACTTTGATTCTATTTAAAGGAATAAATTGTGACGTCAGAATTAATCACTGCGAAGGAGCCCCCTGCCTGAATGGTGGAACCTGTAACAATCACCTTACTAACTATAGCTGCGACTGTTCCACGGGGTTCAGGGGTAGGTGAATCTTACTAACTATAACTGTGACTGTTCCACGGGGTTCAGGGGTAGGTGTATTACTAACTATCATAGCTGCGACTGTTCCACGGGGTTCAGGGGTAGGTGTATTACTAACTATCATAGCTGCGAATGTTCCACGAGGTTCAGGGGTAGTTGAATCTTACTAACTAAAACTGTGACTGTTCCACGAGGTTCAGGGGTAGGTGTATTACTAACTATAACTTTGACTGTTCCACGGGGTTCAGGGGTAGGTGTATTACTAACTATAGCTGTGACTGTTTCACGGGATTCAGGGGTAGGTGTATTACTAACTATAGCTATGACTGTTCCACGGGGTTCAGGGGTAGATGTATTACTAACTATAGCTGTGACTGTTCCACGGGGTTCAGGGGTAGGTGAATATTACTAACTATAGCTGTGACTGTTCCACGGGGTTCAGGGCTAGGTGAATATTACTTACTATAACTTTGACTGTTCCACGGGGTTCAGGGGTAGGTGTATTTCTAACTATAACTTTGACTGTTCCACGGGGTTCAGGGGTAGGTGAATATTACTTACTATAACTTTGACTGTTCCACGGGGTTCAGGGGTAGGTGTATTTCTAACTATAACTTTGACTATTCCACGGGGTTCAGGGGTAGGTGTATTACTAACTATAACTTTGACTGTTCCACGGGGTTCAGGGGTAGGTGTATTTCTAACTATAACTTTGACTGTTCCACGGGGTTCAGGGCTAGGTGAATATTACTTACTATAACTTTGACTGTTCCACGGGGTTCAGGGGTAGGTGTATTTCTAACTATAACTTTGACTGTTCCACGGGGTTCAGGGGTAGGTGAATATTACTTACTATAACTTTGACTGTTCCACGGGGTTCAGGGGTAGGTGAATATTACTTACTATAACTTTGACTGTTCCACGGGGTTCAGGGGTAGGTGAATATTACTTACTATAACTTTGACTGTTCCACGGGGTTCAGGGGTAGGTGTATTTCTAACTATAACTTTGACTGTTCCACGGGGTTCAGGGGTAGGTGAATATTACTTACTATAACTTTGACTGTTCCACGGGGTTCAGGGGTAGGTGTATTACTAACTATAGCTGCAACTGTTCCCCGGGGTTCAGGGGTTCGAAGTTGTTTAAGGACCCTCTATACACTGATGAAAAATGTTTTTTTGGACTTAGATAAATTAATATCACATAAAGGAGAATATTTTGAAATTAACTAACCCATTTTTAATATAGGGAGCGTGCCTTTTTTATTCAGTAAAAATCTTCAAAGACATTGAAGTAATAGAAAAGAAAAATTGCCTTCGCTTACTCAAATGGATAAAATACATGCAAATAAAGTTTTCAAATACTCTATCTTGGTCTCATATAATGTTTAAAATACTTGGATTTATTTTAAATTATGTGATACAGTTCAGATTACAATTTATTCTACTTATATGTCAAATGGTGGGTCAGTCTAATTACACAAAAGTACCCTGAAAATAGGGTGCAGTGTAGAGAGGGTTCTTAAACATTGTATTTGAGACAGGTCCTGATGATATGATTTGTCATCTTTGCAGGAGATAAATGCGAGGTGAATGTTGATGATTGTGCTTCGATGCCATGTGAGAACAATGGGACATGTCAAGATCTGGCCAATGGCTTTACTTGTAGCTGCCCTGCGTTTTTCAAAGGTATGAACAATAGAACTTATTAATAATCTTATATAGGGATTTTTCAGACTATTTTGGACGATTGTGTTTACATTTAGAATAAAATTCATATTTCGTAGGACCCACGTGCAATGTTACAGTGGACTTCTGTACGCCTTCACCCTGCCTCAATAATGGCATTTGTCACCCTAGTTTGGGGGGATACACATGTTCGTGTCCTAGTGGGTTTCGGGGAACGAATTGTGAAATCAACCATGACGAGTGTGATAGTGGACCGTGTCAGAATGGCGGATCATGTGAGGACGGAATAGCAACTTACCGGTAAAATGATCACACTCAAGCGGAAATCAACACCTTAGCATTTCCATTGTAAACCCTCATCAGAAATAAGATTTATAAATCAGATTATTGACAGATATTACCTCTATTTTTAGGTGTCAATGTTTAGTGGGTTTTACTGGAGACCAGTGCGAAGTAAACATAGACGACTGTGATCCGGACCCGTGTGTGAATGCCACCAGGTGCGAGGACGGGGTGAACCGTTTTACATGTCACTGTTTAAAGGGATTCATAGGGGACCGCTGTGAAAGAGGTAATGATGGTGAATGGCTAAATATTAACAGAAAAACTGGAAAAAAAGTATAAATAAACTAATGGGGAATTTTGGTCTTCTTTATTAGAACTGGAAGTGGAGTATTTGCTGGATTTTCCTTTTGCTGGCACGTTTAATTATACTGCAGCTACGATTGAACGCGACCTGACATCAGTTTCAGTCTCTTTTTGGATGAAAACAAGTGACACCACTAACCAGGGGACTCCATTTTCTTACGCCTCAGACTCCAACATGGACAATGCTCTCACCATGACCAGCTACGACGGGTAAAAAAAAAACCAGTAACCCGTAAATTAAATGAAATTAGAGTTTAGACAATTTAAACAAACCCACTTAAAGTGACGCCGTAACGTACAAACGGGAAATTTGACAAAAATAGAATTTTGGCACGACCCATGCAAATTTTGTTCATCTCCTGAATGTATTAGGTTTCAGAAAATTAAGATTTTGTACATAAAATCTACTTTTATGAAAAAAAATTGTTTGGCCCAAGTCGAAAATATTGCTTTAATTACTTCTTCCTCCTTATTGTACGTGTCCGCAGAAAAGTTGAAAAATTAAGTTACCTTGGTCTCAAGTACCAAACCAAGAATTTTTATACAATCTTCAAAAAAGATTATTAGAACTTATTTGTCATCTTTGCGTGCTCCAATTCAGTGTTGTGTATAATTTTAATAATAAAATAAAGAAAGCTAAATATAAACGTTGCATTACCTTGACATTTACGATAACAACGAACCAGCAAATACATCGTGTGTTTTTCTGGCACTTATATTTTGCTGTCTTTTCTTGCTTAACAGTACAGCTAAGTTTGTCATATCTCGGCTATATACTCTATTTATTTTCTGACTGTTTCGGTTTATAATACAGACATCTTTAAAAAAAACACATGATTTTGACTCATTATGTAAAATTCTAACCTCATGACTTGGGGAATCGTTTACATTATCATATTAGTTTCAAAGAGACTAATATTAAAGTTGTTCGTGAAGATCTATTGAAGATGGTGACATTTTCGTTTTGTAGCTTTGTTCTATATGTAAATAACCAGCAAAAGACGACAGATGTCATAGCAAATGATGGCAAGTGGCATCATCTAGTGTTCACGTGGTCTTCTAGTCATGGGGCGTGGAAAATCTACATTGACGGAGTGGTTTGGGACTCTGGGTTTAGCTTTGCAGCGGGTCATACTATTAAAGGTATCACTTACAAAGCTTTCATAAGTTTGCTTGGAAACAGATTTGGACAGTACATCAGATGGATGCAAAAAAGAAATGACATTAATGTCAACCAAAGTTTTTTTCGTCTAGTTAAGTCGTTCATGTGTTTTTCGTGCAGGTGGTGGTAAGTTTGTGATAGGACAGGAGCAGGATAAGGACGGGTCGTACAACAGCGCAGAGTCCTTTATAGGGCAGATCACCCACCTTAATGTCTGGGACAGGGAACTGACCTTCGACGAGATCAACTCCATGAGAACGTCATGTCGGAAGTTTATTGGGAATGTGATCGCGTGGCCCGACATACAGACGGGATTACATGGTTCTTTAAAACCGGAACCTTCAAATTTCTGTCGAGGTAACGGTTGATAGAGGGCGCTGTTTGTATATTATAGCTAATGCTTTGCTTTGCTATTCCAGTAAAACATTTGACCTGTATTTAATTTTACATGAAGCATTATTAGAAGATGTAATATTTATTTAACACATATTGACCAAATATAGACCTTATATATTGCTTAATATGTAAATGATGAGTGTAATTTATTGATGTCAGCATGTTCAGTGATTAAAATGCGTAAACGAAGCTGTCTTAAATTATGTATTTTACATATATAATATACTAGTATTCATTATTTATACTTTAATATTTATTGAACTAAATCATTTTTATGGCATTCACATTTATCGATGTTAAAGTGATTCATTTCTAATGTGTGGAAGTAATGCGTGTCTGTGATACCCGATGAACATCATGTTTAAATATTAAGTAATGTCAAGCTATGCATAAAAACTTTGTAGAAGTAAATTTACCTAATAACGAAGCATTATTTCTAGAAATAAACTATTACTTTCAATTTTTTTTGGTATGGTATCTGTATATCGTATACATTAACAAATATGTGCATTTTTCTATGAAATAAAAAATGAGAACATTTTGTTTTGACTTGTACGTGTACATACTCCAGATAATGAATGGCTTGATTGAGAGATACTCGTGACAAACTTTTATATAAGAGCGTAAAATCTGCTATCATACAGGCTGCTACAGAAATATATTGTAATGCTTTTGGCTTTAACAGAAATCATATTATACAAGAACCAAAATCCGGATAAACGGTAAGATATTTTTGAATTTATTTCTGAAGTACTTGAAATATTATTGAAATTATTGAATGCATAATATTTAATTAAATTGGGAAGTCACGCTATTTTGCCTGACATATGACCCTTTGTTATCCCCCAGGCTGTCCGGTCCCGGTTAGACCTATCTACGGACATGCTGCATTCTCCTCTACAGAACCTGGGGCCACGGTCAAGTACTCGTGCTTACCAGGGTTTAATTTCTTGGATCGGGACACCAGACAGTGTCTAGTGACGGGGGAGTGGAGTGGGAGGGATCTCCAATGTCAACGTAAGTCGAGGGGGCTGTTAAAAGGACGTCACTACATCAATAAGTATCCTACAGCAATTTAGAAAGTTTTAATCTATAGCGTAGGCATTTGTAAACAACATTTACTCGTCTTTGCACGAGCAATTTTTCCAATGGTACTCGTGCAATTTTTCCAATGGTAAACTTCAGTTAACTTAAATAATCGGTGAATATTTTATGCATCTTTTTTTTAATCAAACCTTTATGTTTTTGGTAATTTTATGCTCGGAAATTAAATTTCTATCAGAAATCACTTTCTGTCTATTTACAAAGAGGATGTTGAAGTTTCCTATAATGATCACGAGTTTCTGCAACACTCTCTTAGAAATAAAACTTGTGAGCTTGTAGCGCTTGAATATCTTATTACTTATCTACTACCTATTATACTGCTAATATTTTGTTTACATTTTAGTATCATTATGAGAGTGTCTAAAAATCTGTCCTTGAGTGAAATATTTTTTACATGTATGCTGATTTACGGTATTTTGTACACGATCGCGATTTTGTTTTTCATTTGTTTTTCCTTAAATACTGCATCCGTCATATCAACTATGATATCAATAAAAAATACTTTATAAATAAGTATATTTCGGATGTCCGACAAATGATGAAAATAAAGTGAATAATACATGTATGTTGTGTTTATGAAATGCGAACATTTTTGACAAAACGCGAAAAAACAAATCTAAATAATACCATTTAAATCAGTATATGACATTGTGTATCTGGAAATGTAAGATAAAACACACCTTCCTGGAAAAAAAATAATAAGGGACAAACTTTATAATTCAGAGAAAGTTATTTCTTACTTACCTGAATTTTAGAATGTATTTTAATGATAGGTGTATACTGTGGGTTTCCACAACGAATACGAAACGGCTTCATTGACGGGAGAGACTATTATTACGAAAGCACTGTCAGATATAGGTGTGACAACAACTACAGACTCAAGGGGTCCGAAAGGCTGTACTGTAACGAGAACGGCACGTGGGAGGGGGAAACGCCCACCTGTGAAGGTATGTGTAAATAGAGGCCGCCATCAGGGAATCTGTCAACTAGAATAGTTACCTCTAACACTCTCAGAAATGTTTTATCTTATTTCAGAGATAACGTGCCAATTACCTTTGTTGTCTGGAAATACCATACCGTCCATCAATAAACAGCATTACAGGACCGGAGAAACGGTAAACTTCAGTTGTAAAGAGGGATACAAGCTTTTAACAGACCACGATTTTGTCTCGTGCCAGAAGGATGGCACATGGGATCGGAGCGTTCCTACGTGTGACCCCCAGACTTGCAAAACTATTCCACCGATTAACAATGGGGAAGTTTCATCCATAAAAGATGAATACTCTGTCGGTCATATTCTGACCTTTACATGTGACTACGGGTACCGATTGTCCGATACAAATCCAACAGGACGGATCAGCTGCTTACCGAATGGTCAGTGGGAAAGCAATGTTCCGCAGTGTGAAATAGTCACGTGTCCAAACCCGCCATCTGTGCTGAATGCAATGGCTGACTTAGACGGTTTGACTTTCCTAAGTTCTGTTACCTATACCTGTAAAACGGGTTATGAACTTGTGGGAGAGACGGATATACTTGAGTGTGTAGAGGACGGGACCTGGGATCCACTACCTCCAGAATGTGTTCCGGTAGAATGTGGAGATCCCGGTTTGATTGCTAATGGAGATGTTCTCGCACCCATGTATACGTTTGGTAGTTTAGCATCCTATAGATGTAACCCAGGTTATTTTCTAAGTGGAAACAATACACGAAAATGTGAGTCTGATAAGGAGTGGAGTGGTGAAGCACCGACCTGCTCTCCTGTCTCTTGTGGTCAGACGGATAATATTGAAAACGGAATTTATGAGCAAAATGGAAATACATTTGGAAGTATTGCCACGTATGGATGTTTACCAGGTTACGATTTACATGGAATTGCAGAACGTACCTGTGAAGCAAATGGCCTCTGGTCTGGTTCGCCACCCGGATGTACCAAGAAGGAATGTGGTGCCCCTCCAATCATGAACCACGGTCAGCAGAGATCAAGTGGTGTGTACTATCAAGACACTGTAACTTATTCATGTGAATTAGGATACAGGTTGAACGGTGTCGATACACTACACTGTGGAACCAGAGGACGATGGGAGCCGTCCCCACCACTATGTGAGGAAATCACGTGTCCGACACCGGAAACTATACAGTATGGTAATTACACTCTTACTGGAAAAGTATTTGGTTCAATAGTAGATTATTTCTGTTTACAAGGGTATAAACTTGCGACTGAATCAGCCAGGGTGTGTCAACCAGACGGGACATGGTCAAGTAGTCTACCATCTTGTGTTGCTGATGAATGTCCTCCGCCATTGCCGGTTGAAAACGGAAAATTTGATTTCAAGGATAGGCAGCTTGGTTCTGTAGTGCTGTATTCGTGCAATCCAGGATATAAACTAGTTGGAAGTGATGTTCGCCGATGTGTAAATTCATTAACATGGAGTGGTAACGAACCAGTCTGTGCGCCAAAGTCTTGCATGGAACCGGAAGATATTACGAATGGAAGGAGAAATGCGTCTGGTTTGTTGTACAACGCCATTGTAACCTATGAGTGTGATGCTGGATATCTCCTAAGGGGTCCTTCAAAACGTACATGTCAGTCCTCAGGTGCCTGGTCAGGAACAGCTCCAACATGTGAAATCGTTGTTTGCGACACTCCCTCTAAAGTGACCTCTAATGGCAGAAGTTTTGGAAACTCGTCAACATACAATTCGGTCGTTACATACGAATGTGACCCAGGGTACAATTTGAACGGGGCTAAGAGTAGACGTTGTCTCGCTAATGGACAATGGGATTTTGAGATACCTATATGTGAAGTGGTTCAATGCCCTCGTCCTCATCTTTCAAATGGAATTTTCTCAAATTTCAAGACAGAATATTTATCTAACGTAACCTTTCAGTGTCGCTCTGGTTATGTATTGTTCGGTGCTTCAAAAAGAACGTGTTTAGAAAGTGGTTTATGGAGTGGACAAAGCCCTATTTGTGTGAAAAGGAAAGAACCACCAGTTGTAGAATATGCTACAGTGTTAAGTAATGGCAACTCTGTTATATATTCGTGTCTTTATGGTTATAAAATGGTTGGGAACACAAATCTTCAGTTTGATTCAGACGGGCGGTGGCATGGAGATAAACCTGAATGTGTGCCGATAGAATGTAATGCAACTAGCCTAAACATAGATAATTTTGCGCATGGAATTGTCGAATTTGAAAATATTACACTGGGAAGTACAGCTGAGTATCGATGCGAAAGAGGGTATGAACTCCTCGGAGATGCAACTCGCACCTGTTTATTCAATGGCTTTTGGAGTGGATCTAATCCCATTTGTAATATTGTTTTTTGCCCAGGTAATTTTGAAATACAGCATGGTAGTATTTCTGGAACAGCTTATCATTTCAACGCATCTTTACGTTTTGCTTGCATGCCTGGTTATCAATTAGTTGGAGACGAGGTAATAACTTGTCTAGAAAACTCTTCATGGAGTGGATCTAATCCGAGATGTGAGAGAATAACTTGCCCAGCGCCAAGAGGATCGGGTGACCCCTCTGTCTCCTTCAACACTCTGACTGTAGGTAGTACCGTTGAATACCGATGTTCTCAAACACACAAGCTAATCGGAGAATCTTCTAGAACCTGTCTACCCACAGGACAATGGTCAGGACAAGCGCCATCTTGTCAAATAATTCAGTGCAAAACTCCATCTTTCGTAAATGGCCGAGTTAACGTCAATTCAAACACTTTAGGTGGGTTCATGACGTACGCTTGTGATGAAGGCTATCGCTTGGAGGGCATTTCATGGAGATTCTGTACCAGTAATGAAACATGGAGTGGAACGGAACCATCATGTATAGCCATTAAATGTTCACCTCCAAGGTCCATTGATAACGGGATGATTCTGGATAACGGCAGGACAGAGTTCTTTTACGGTGATATGGTGCGGTATAAATGTACGGAAGGCTACGTAATGCAGGGAGGAGACACGGATCACATCTGTCAAGGTTCCGGATCCTGGTCTGGTAGCCTACCTACGTGTGTTTCTGTGGCGTGTGGGTCAGTCCCATACATACCTCACTCGCGGACAACACTGCTGAATGGGACTATGATCTATAACTCTGTTGTTAAGTACACTTGTGCTCAGGGATATAAAAGTCAGAGTGGCGCTATTGACATCAGTAAATGTCAACCAAACGGAGCTTGGTCGGTGGTTACCATTTCTTGTTCTATAGTTCATTGTCCAGCGTTCCCATCGATTGCCCACGGAACTGTAGTTGGAAAGGATGTAGCCTATGGTAGTCGAATTTCAGTTGTTTGCGATAACGGATTTTCACTCGTTGGCGATAGCCAGATAAGATGCCTTTCTAATGGAAGTTGGAGCATCACACAAACTCCTCGCTGCCAGCAAATCCTCTGTCCGACACCGGAGTCCACTTTGAACGGAAATGTGTATTTTACCGATATAACAGTCGGTGTGACTATAAACTACACGTGTAACACTGGATTTAAACTGATTGGTGACAATCAAAGAAGATGCTCCCAGACAGGTGAATGGACGGGAAGCGTTCCAGTATGTCAAGAGCAAGTCTGCGGGGAACCTCCAGTTTTCCCAAATGCTGTCATTTCCGTTAATCGAACAGAGTACCCAGTGTCAGAATCAGCTCAATACTCATGCCTACCTGGATACACAATGTCTGTACAGAGCACAACTCGGTGCAACAGTGTCGGAATTTGGGAAGGGTCGGGTCCATCATGCACAAAAATCAAATGTGAACAGCCGAGGGCATTTGAAAATGGTAGAGTTCAATATAATGACGTATCTTTTGGCAGTAAAGTTACCTTCACCTGTAACGAAGGTTATATTCTTTCTGGGGCTAGTAGTATGAGTTGTCTTGAAACTGGTATATGGAGTAGTTCCACTCCTATTTGCCAACCCGTAAGTTGTCCATCTCCTGCGTACGTGGAAAACAGCATTGTTGTAGGCGACGTTTATACCTATGGAAATATGGTGACATACATTTGTAATGAAGGATATGAGCAAAGTGGAGCAAGGGATTTGATTTGCCAGGCAGATGGGACTTGGTCCAGCACTCCTTCACATTGTCAAAAAGTTCAGTGCAGACCACCCCCAGCAATAGCACACGCAAGAGTGAAGAGAATAGACTTTTTCTTTAAGGATAAGGTCACATATGAATGTGAGGAAGGATACAACTTGATTGGTAATGCAACCCTTCAGTGTGGTTTTAATTCTAGTTGGTTAGGAGTGAAACCTCGTTGTGAAATTATATCTTGTGGAGATCCACCTGAAGTTACGCATGCAACTTCTCACATGACTAGACGAACATACAATGCCATGACGACATATATGTGTGATTCAGGGTATACAAGGAACGGAGATCCGATTGCCACGTGTACTGCAAATGCAACATGGGCTTTGAGCGCAGATTTAAGTTGTGTTCCGGTAGACTGTGGGTTTCCTCCAAATATTTCTAACGCAGTTTCAGATTTCGCATCAACAACCTATCTTTCTTATGTCGTGTACCGATGTAGTCATGGGTACACTTTGCATGGAAACAGCCGTGTTCAGTGTAGAGAGATTGGAGTTTGGGATACGGCACTCCCGGTGTGTTTGATAGCCAATTGTCCTCCGCCAGTTATCTCTGGTAATGTTATCATCATTAAAGGAAGTTTCAGTGTTGGAGATACTGTGGAATTTGGCTGCAGTGATGGTCACATCATTTCTGGAAACTCTCAGAGTACCTGTACTTCCAGCGGAATGTGGAGCTCTAGTGTCCCTGTCTGCAAAAGTAAGTAAAAAACTTAGTCTGTTTTTTATCAAAAGAAAACTTCTGGTATTGCAAATTGTAAGAAAAAAAATTGATTTTTTTCAAACTATATATAAAGATAACATGGTTTACAGGAGTGCGATGTCCTATGCTGAGCCTGTCAGGATCTGGTCTGTTACCAAGTGTCAACAAGGACGACTTTGTTTTCGGTGATCACGTGTCTTTTACGTGTACACAGGGTTATGTTATTGTTGGTGGCACAAGACTTGAGTGTCAGTCTGATGGCACCTGGAGCGGATCTCTACCTACCTGTACACCACAAGGTACCTATCCTTGTACTGTCTGTAACTTTCAAAATTTAAAGCCGTATGCAGAACACCAACTTTAAAGCATAAATATAAAATTCAATACTTTCATGATTTTTAAAAATTTTTTAATGTATAATGTTTATAAGAATAAACAAAATAATCACTGGTCTTCTAAAACGACACTGATAACTTCTGTGTACAGCTGCAGCAGCTTGCCCCATCGAGACAAGAATCCCTAATACACAAGATTTCAGCCAACTATTTCCGGTTGGTCATACAAGAATGGCGATCTGTAAACCTGGTTATGAGGAGGCAGGGAGTTTAGAGGTCACGTGTCAGGCAACTCGAAAGTGGTCGTCACCCAGCGGCTATTGTAGAAGTAAGTGACCCGGTCCTATATTCAAGGTTATATTTGTTTAGGGTAAATACTATCTATGCTTTTTCCTTCAATATTAGCATTATCGTTTGGTACACACAGGAAGAGATCAGATGATTAATATTACTATAGTCTGTCCCGCTGTCCTTGTCAGACATGTTTCATGCCAATTGTTACACCTTTGTTCTTACACTGAATTCAACTACGGAATAGTCCGCCTACCTGATCAATACATAGGGCTCTCGGCGCGTGTTACCGGTCGACAGGGGATGCTTACTTCTCCTACATTTGGAATTTCCAGTGGTCCATGTTTTAAGCCCTGTTTACAGATTTGTATTGTTTATAGATGTTTTGAGATCGATCACTGTTTGTTTTCTTCGCCTTTTGCACAAAAGTCTCCCTCTTCAAAAAATTGAATTTCTTCGAAAGAAAATGTAATTAAACATTATTATTTTATTATATAGTCTACTAGTATTTATAGTCCCTATATAATCTATGCAAACGGTTCATAACATTTCATATTCACTGGATTTGAGGCCGCGGTCAATATTGATAATTTTTTTGTTTAATATCAAACCATATTCACAACCAAAAGAGTCCATATCTGTATAATATTTTATCATTACCAGCATCATATTAGTCACTAGATACAAACAATTTAAAAACAAACAAAAATGACATTGTTTATGCAGTCTTTGGAGATTTACAATGCCAATTTCGGCTGTTGCCGTACAAGGGAATAGCTTTTATTACCAGTTTTATATGTGTGCATTTTAATGTTTTTATCATTTGTTTTATTTATAAATCGAGTCATTCAGACAGGAACTGTATTTATTACATATACATAAAAAATTATGCTTACTTAATGACTCAATTTCTAATCAGAGCTGTTTTGCGGGAAGCCCCCTGTCACTGACATGGTGAATATCATCAGAGTCCGAGGGAGATCTTATTTCTACAAAGATCAGGTCCGGTATCAATGTAGACCAGGCATTCCACCAATGAAAATTCCTCCTGTCATCACGTGCACTGATACTGGCCAATGGGATGGCACAATAGCATGCTATAGTATGTAAAACATCACTGTATGTTTATAAAATAATATAAGGTATGTGTTCATCACAATCAATTTCACCTGTGCTATTATTATTAAATTTTGATTTATAACCTCTGCGGAACAATTTTAATTAATTTTAAACAACCAACACATATTAAATAGATTGTTGAATTAATGTATGTTCATATATCATGAACAAACTTAAAATATTTCTGAAGCAGCATCTTGCCATGCAAGAATGTGCAGATGATCAGTCAAACAGTAATTAAAACAGATGAACATAATGTATATTTGTTCCTTTTCATTCTTTGACGGTATATATTTACATATCTCTTTCTCGCAGTGCCGTGTAAAGGCGGATGTAGGAACGGAGGGACATGTCTCGGATACCTTGGCTGCAAATGTCCCGTAGGATATGGCGGGAAAAGATGTGAAAGGGGTATTCTCTCACTCCCTTTCTGTCTCTAATTTGTAACAAAAAACGTGTTACAAACACTTATCGTGATTAATGATATGAAATGTAATAAAGTATATTGATACTTGACATTTTCACTCAGTGAAGAGAAAAGGGGGCATATATTTCTCTATTTATTTGTTAGCTATGTGTATTCTGCCATGTCTTCACCGAGGTCGTTGTGTGGCACCGTATCAGTGCGCATGTCCTCGTGGCTACACAGGTTCCCGCTGTCAGTCGGGTGAGTACAAATGTAAAAAAAACAATAAATACTATTTTATAAAATCTGTACCTGACTTTTATCTCTTTCTCTGTATTACGTTATATACTTCGCAATCAATGGCATTCATGTTGAAAAATAAATATTTTTTCACTATTTCCTATCAGCCATATGTGACCCGCCCTGTGAGAACAGAGGAATCTGTGAACAACCAAACGTCTGCCGATGTCAGCATGGTTTCCAAGGGCCACGTTGTGAAAGGTTAATAAATTCAATATATTACATAGAAATTTTGTATTTTTAGACTGTGGACAAGGAAGGGGAGAAAGTATTTCAAATAATCCAGGATAGTGTCTATAATATTTATTGTGTTTAAATTTTTACAATAATACAAGAACAAAGGACGTTTGCATTCCTTAGTAACTCAGCATTGCTTCTCAATTTTGGGATATGCTTTTAAAAAAATTCTTTACCATACAGCTCGGATCTCCGGACATTTGAACGGGCAGCTCGAGCTCGTAAGTCGACAACCACCAGTACAACAGCAGCCCCTGGGTGGTCCTGGCGGTAGAGCGTTATCTAGCGGTCACCTCTCAGTGCTGTGAATGACATTGCATTTTACCAACATTCATTATAGCTACATGATGATTGCATTTTCTAAAGAAATAAATCTACAACATTTTAGTATTTGTGATCTTGTGTAAATAGATTCTGTTCTATAAAATGAGATGTTTTTAGTAACTGGTAATTATATCTTTTAAATTTGATAATTAAGATAAACTTTATGAAGAAAGTCGTGAAAAGAAAACTGAAATACATTCGTTGAACGTTGTTCTAAAACACTAAAATATATATGTTATCATAGTAAAATAAAGAAAAATGACAGAACTGCCTTTACGCCTGCTAGTGCACATCAGTTTCCTAAAATTTATATTTTACGATTTCGAAAGATGGAAGAAAGGTTGCCTGACAATCCCTCATTATTCTTCAACTTAATTTCTAATACCATTTAATCATGCACTTTAGTACTATCATTATACCCGCACTTTCTAAAGAAAGTTCGGGTATATTGTTGTTACTCATGTATGCCCGTCCGTCCGTCCGTCCGTCTGTCAAACTCTTCTTTCTCAAACTCCTCTTACATTTTACACCGTAGCCTAATCGTCTTTTGGGAGATGGTTAGTGGTGTCCTGTAGATGTGCAGTAAGGTTTCGGAATTTTCATTTTCACCCTAGGGGTCAAATGGGGGTCGAAAAATGACGTTTTTATGCAAAAAGCCACTGGTTCCCTGAACTCCTCTTACATTTTACACAGTAGCCTAATCATCTTTTGGGAGATGGTTGGTGGTGTCAAGTAGATGTGCAGTAAGGTTTCGGAATTTTCATTTTCACCGTAGGGGTCAAATTGGGGTTGAAAAATGACGTTTTTTATGCGAAAAGCCCCTGGTTCCCAGAACTCCTCTTCATTTTACATAGAAGCCTAATCATCTTTTGGGAGGTGGTTGGTGGTGTCCTGTAGATGTGCATTAAGGTTTTGGAATTTTTATTTTCACCCTGGGGATCAAATAGGGTTCAATTTCTTTTTTAAAAAATATTTAACATGTTTAAACATCCTAGTTCCCAGAACATCCCTTATATTTTATGCATTAGCCTTAAATCATGATCATTTGGAAGATGATTGGTTTTGTCCTGTGGATGTGTAAAATGGTTTCAAAATTTGCATTTCCAAGTGGATGGCAAATAGGGGCAGGAAAAAATGGCTCCTCCCTAACCCATGGGTCATGATTTGTACAAACTTGAATCTACACTTCCTGAGAATGTTTCCATATTAATCATGCTCTTGTTGTTCTTGAAAAGAAGAATTTTAAAGATTTTTCCCCTTTTATTCCTATATATATAAATCTTTGATCCCTTATTGTGGCCTGACCCTACCCTTGGAGGTCATGATTTGAAAACTAGAAATATGTCCATAGGAAATGAATGCCCCGCTGAATGTATATTACTAATGCAACATAAAAATTTGTATGGGTGTATGAAGTTTGATGAGAATATCTTGAACCGTTTCTTTAAAATTGAAACTAAAACCTTAAAAAATGGATATAGATGATAAATTCTCACCAAATTATGTGTAAGTGCATGCTTACATAAGAATATCTTAAATTGTTTCTTTAAAACTAAGCAAAATACAAATTAAAGAGAAGGGAGGTCAAAGTCACAGGAAAGTGCAAGGTGAAAAGTTTTTGATGCAGTTGAATAGCTCTCACTAATACATATCAGCTTATTAGGTTTGATAAAAATATCTTGAATGATTTATTTAAAACTGAGCTTAACACTTATTTAAGAAAAGAGAGGTCAAGGTCAAAGAAAAGGTTGAGGTCAAAATGTTTATGCAATTGAAAAGCTTGCATCAGTATGTATTTACTATTAGCTTATGAGGTTTGATAAAAATATCATAAATGGTTTATTTAAAATGTAGATAAACACTAATATAAAAAAGTGAGGTCAAGGTCAAAGGAAAATTCAAGGTAAAAAAAAGTTGATGATATTCAAAGCTCTCAGCAGTATGTATCAGTATATGAAGTTTGATAAATATATCTTGAATTGTTTATTCAAAACTGATCTAGACACTAAATTAAGAAAAGTGAGGTCAAGGTCAAAGGAAATGTCAAGGTCAAAAAATATTGATGGAGTTGCTTAGCTCTTATCAATATCTATCAGCATATGAAGTTTGATAAAAATATTTTGGATAGTTTCTTTGAAACTGAGCTTTGAACTGAGCTTAAAGCAAAGTGACAGACAGAAGGATGGAAGGACGGAAGACGGACATGACAAACACTATATGCCATATTCATGGCGGGGCATAAAAAACTTGAATCTACACTATATGAGGATGTTTCCCTATCAAAATGACTAACAAGCAAATTCAAAGAATTGTGGTCCCCTGCTTCCCGTGTCTTAATGGATGGGATGCCATTATTTATGTCATATTGTTTAAAATATGCACGCCCTATCATATATCATTCAAAAGTAATCACCAAAGTTAAATTTTTTGAAAATTAGGTAAAACATCAAGGACAAGGGGTAAAAAATCATGGCATGCTCGGAAACATCTTGTTACAGGTAATGTACATGTCAAATATGAATGTCCTATCTCTTCTCAATCGAAAGTTATAAGGAAATACAAAATTTTTGAAAAGTAGGTTAAACCTCAAGGTCAATGTCACAGAGTCAAAAGTCATGATATATTTAGAAAGGACTTGTCACAGGTAATATACAGGTATAATATGAATGCCCTACCTTTTTCTCCTTCAAAATGATCAATTTAAAATAATGTTAATATTTTTTTAAAGTAGGTCAAACTTCTAGGTCAAGGTCATGGGTTCAAAAATCATAGTATATTTAGAAAGTTCTTGTAGGTAATGTACATGTGAAATATGAAAGCCCTTTCTCTTATTATTCAAAAGTTATGACCAAGGTTAAATTCATTGTGACAGACGGACAGATTGACAAACAGACAGACTGACAGACAAATGAGATTTAATGTACCCTAGGTCCCTTTCGCGAAAACGGGGGCGATAATCCACTTGCTGTTCCTGAAAAGATTTATGATTAAAAAAATCCCCTGCATTTTTCTATGTAATTCTTTGGATCCTCATATGTGGCCCCACCCTACCCCAATGGGTCTTAATTTGAACAAATTAAATAAGTCTATGCAAAGAAAGTTTCAACTTTTTGGGCCCAGTCAGTGGTTCTTGATAAGACTTTTTTAAATGACACCACCAAATTTTCACTAATTCTTGATTATCCCCCCCCCCTTGTAAGAGGGTGTGACCCTTCATTTGAACAATCTTGAATCCCCTGTACCCGAAGATGCTTTGTGGTAAGGTTGGTTGAAATTGGTCCAGTGATTCTAGTGAAGAAGACAAAAATGTGAAAAGTTTACAGGCGGACAGATGGATGACAAACAAAATGTGATCAGAAAACCAGAAAAACTCAAGTGAGCTAAAAACTTACGATCATAAGTACTTGGAAAGAGTTACAGTATTTGAAAAGCAGTTTTTTTTAATGCATTGTTTTCAGAAGCTGAAAAGGTATGACTTGTATCCATGTAGAAAAAGCTGCACATTTCAGAAAACAGTATGATTAAAAATAGTTAATCAAGGTGCTTTGACTAGTAAAATAAGCCAGACTGGTATAGCTAATTCAACCACAGAGCTTAGTCAATTTTAAGATGCACAACCTTTTCAACTCTTAATCATTCTTAAAATATTTTTATCATCATTTCTGATTCAAGGGAGAACTAGAGATATGACCAGAAGTATATCTGTTGACTAATAAACATGTACATGTATATTGTGTCATTTGTTTGTTTGTTGTTAAATGTCCCTCTCGGGAATTTTTCACTCATATGGAGACACCACCACTTTAAGATAATGAAGACGTACAAGTCGGATTTGGGGTTAACATTCATTTTAGGAGTTTTCAACAATTAAGACGTCATAAACGAGATAACTCCTTCCCCTCGCCCCTTCCCCTACCCAGACCCCTGTTTGTTCATGTATGCAAACTAATACTTTGTTTTGACCAAAAAAAGTATGAATATACTAGTATACAAATTGTTTAATGGTCCATCTCTTTGAATGATTTTCATTCCTAATTCTAGAAGGGTACATGGGTTGACCCAAATTCATGAATGAAATGTCAAGCAATCTTATCATTGATGCACTTTTATTTAATTTGATGTAGTCAGATTGTGAACATTTCCAGTTCATATAGAGAGTGGGGATGACCTCCAGGGGTTCATAGATGTACATAACATAACAACACAAGGAACAAAATTATGTATAGTCAAATGGAAAAGTTTTCTACTATTTTGGATTCACATGATCATTTGTCATTTCGGGGACAGGGTTCGGCTAGGGAGATTGCCCCCCCCCTTGGAATTTGCAGAGTTATTTAAATAGGACTATATACTGATTTACAGAAACAAAAAAAAGATGACTTTGGACGCCCTCCCCCCTATAAAAAATGGACCCCATCATCATTGTTTTTATTTTGTTTGTTTTTTTTTTGTTTGTTTGTTTGTTTGTTTGTTTTTTTTTTTTTTTGCTACTCGGGATATTCTGGGCTGGAAATTTTTTTGACTGAGGTGTGGACCCCCCCCCCCCCCCCCCGGAAAAAATTCCTGGATCTGTGCATGTAACTGAATGTAATGTCGACAACGGGAGATAACTCTTCAGAATGTGAAATTCGTCTATTGTGGCATCCGATGATCTTTGATCCTTTTTTAAACTTTAACCCTAACATTTGCATTTTGGTTTATTTTACCCCAATCTATACTTAAACTTGTACTTACCGACTGTCATAGGTCCTGTCAACTTCATGAAATATAATCCAAGTAAAACACAAAATGAATTAATTCCTACTGATATACATGTAACACTGCACTATGTGCAATCTAAAAATGATAATGGTAAAACTAGTACTAGTACTGGTAGGGTGACGCAAGCCCAATGTGATGTAGAAATTTTCAAAAAGGTGTTCACATACATGTACAGTACAAGAACAAATTTTAAATTATCATACCAAACGATGTTTTAACATAACTTTGCCAATTCTAGGCCTATTTCCAAAAACAGGCAAATTGTTTGTGTGTGTTGGAGGGGGGGGGGGTGACAAAATTGA